ATAACTACCTATTTGAATATGAGTATTCTATATGCCAATCTCAATAATGTTGATGAAATACATTTATAAATCTCTTGACCAAGAATCTACTCTACCAAGTCATTATATTTCAAGATTGTTGAATCAAGGACATTTGTTGATTCAATTTCAGTTAAATCACCTAAATGTTACGGTTATTTTGTACTTCAGCCATATAAATTCAGTTCACAGTTACATTTTAGTAATTTAGAAGATGCTCTTATCCAGAGCGACTGACAGGAGCAATTAGGGTTAAGTGCCTTGCTCAAGGCCTTTCAGTTACTGGCCCAACGCTTTTAACCTCTAGGCTACCTGCCGCCTGTAAGTAGCCTAGAGCCGTATACCGTACAGTCAGTCTAGTTGGATCGTGCAGGGCCTCTTACTATGGAACACAAATCTTGAACTTCTTCTGGTTCAGCGTATACCCACTACCCAGCATACAGTATCTTGGTGTGACATGAAACACTTTATTCTAAATGTACTACATTATACCTCTGATGAAAAAGTTGGGATTTGAGACCTCAACCAAGCTGTAGTCTATAGGTAGAGTTTAAAAAAACATGATAGCTATTAACACAAAATGAGTAGATGCTCATATACTGTAAATGTCAAGTCTTGATGCCATGGAAACAACTGAAGGTGCTAATTTATTTTCCGTCTTTACTCTCACTAGCTCGTACTCCACAGCTCTGTATTTCCGTTACACTATATTTAACAAAAGCGAATGCCAACTTACATGAAGATTGCATTTATATGCGTTGCCTCTTAGATTTGAATACAATTTTTTCCAAAAATACATTCAATCAATCTTATAAACATGGTGGAAATATTCATTTCTTGGATGGCTTTGCAGGTTTTGTGTTAGGAAACAATCTCTTGTTCCACCAATAGGTTATGGGACACAACCAGCTTAGTCACTGCACAGAATTGAATATACTAGCCTGAGGTCGATACTGGTCCCCTTGTAGTTTTAAAACTTAAAAGTAAAAAATAATATTTGAAAATAATTGAATGTTAAGTCGTCTCCTGGACTTTCCTATCTCAATTTAGCAAAGCAACACACAAAGCTCTTTTTTTCTGGAGTAGTTACCAACAAGGCTTGTCAGGGAGGCAGAAAATCCCATTTTCAAGTGTGTCATTTCAAGTTTATGAGCACTGGCTGGCAGTGCCTGCTCTGGTTGTCACCTTGATTTAGTCACAGGATGCCACAGCAGCAACATGCAAACAGGAGACGATTGGCAAAGCAGCCATCCTTGAGAGAACATAGAAAACGGGAAGGGTAGAGAGGTAGAAAGAGAGAGACAGAGAAAGGGTGGAGTGTAGGAGAGAGACAGGGTGGGGTGTAGAGAGAGAGAGAGAGAGAGGGTGGTGTGTAGAGAGAGAGAGAGAGGTTGGAGTGTAGGAGAGAGAGAGCGAGAGAGAGGAGTGTAGGAGAGAGAGAGAGAGCGAGAGAGAGAGAGAGAGATGCAGGAGTCACTGTGAGAGGAGGGGAAGAAAAGTCATGAGACGCCCATACAGTGCATTCGGAAAGTATTCAGACCCCCTCCCTTTTTCCACATTTTGTTACTTTACAGCCTTATTCTAAAATTTATAAAATCATTTTTTCCCCTCATCAATACCCCATAAAAACAAAGCAAAAACAGGTTTTTAGAAATGTTTGCAAATATATAAAACAGAAATACCTTATTTACATAAGTATTCAGACCCTTTGCTATGAGACTCGAAATTGAGGTCAAGTGCATCCTGTTTCCATTGATCATCCTTGAGATGTTTCTACAACTTGATTGGAGTCCACCTGTGGTAAATTCAATTGATTTATAAGGTCCCACAGTTGACAATGCATCTCAGAGCAAAAACCAAGCCATGAGATCAAAGGAATTGTCCTTAGAGCTCCAAGACAGGATTGTGTCAAGGCACAGATCTGGGGAAGGGTACCAAAATTCTGCAGCATTGAAGGTCCCCAAGAACACATTGGCCTCCATCATTCTTAAAAGGAAGAAGTTAGGAACCACCAAGACTCTTCCTAGAGCTGGCCGCCTGGCCAAACTGAGCAATCGGGGGAGAAGGGCCTTGGTCAGGGAGGTGACCAAGAACCCCATGGTCACTCTGACAGAGCTCCAGAGTTCCTCTGTGGAGATGGGAGAACCTTCCAGAAGGACAACCATCTCTGCAGCACTCCACCAATCAGGCCTTAATGGTAGAGTGGCCAGACAGAAGCCACTCCTCAGTAAAAGGCACGAGAGCCCGCTTGGGTTTGCCAAAACACACCTAAAGGATGCTCAGACCATGAGAAACAAGATTCTCTGTCTGATGAAACCAAGATTGAACTCTTTGGCATAAATTCCAAGCGTCACGTCTGGAGGAAACCTGGCACCATCCTTACGGTGAAGCATGGTGGTGGCAGCATCATGCTGTGGGGATGTTTTTCAGCAGCAGGGACAGGGAGATTAGTCAGGATCGAGGGAAAGATGAACAGAGCAAAGTATGTGGAAAAAGTCAAGGGGTCTCTCCGAATGCACTATAATTCCCTATAGGCTTTCTTGTTGCTTTTGCTGTGTAGATGCATCTTTTATCTGCATCTGCTACAAGTATAACCATGGTAACCATGGAAATTGAAGTTCTAGAATAGGTTTGTGTAGGCTATCACATGACCCACACGACTCCTATTCATTAGCCAAGTCGATGCACAAACAATAAAAAAAAACAAATATTGTCTTCATTCACGACACATATACTGTACTGTGCACATCCAATCACCAACAATAATGAAATAACTGTATCTGAAACACATTATTGCTCCCCTTTTGGACAGGGTCTAGATGTGAGTCTTCTTGGAGGAAAATGTGGATGCCTGCTTACGAAAAGAAAGAGGGGGGGGGGGGGGGGGGGGGGAGAGAAAGAGAAGGGGAGCTAGAGAGAGAACGAGTAAGCCTCCCACCCAAACTGCCACTCTCTCCAATGGAACCAACTGGCACTACTTTGTTCCAAGGACTCCACAGTGTTCCATCTTCTGATTGAATAGCACAGGAAATTCCATCAGCCTGCTCCATCTCAGAAATGAAATGAGAGCCTTCATACTCTCCCAACCCTCAGTTTTGTGTGAGAGGTATATCACTTAAAGGTTCGCTTCGCCTCACAAACTCAGCCAGTCCAGGTAATAGAATGTTAGAGGTTGTGTTGGTGAATGCAGCCAGCTTGGTGGGTTATTCAATCTCTCACGCATTAATATGTAATTGACAATATTGAAGAAGATTAAAATTGGATGGTCGAAAGCCACCCATTCATGTGCATAACACTGTAGCAATAGATTTTAGTATGTTATCAAGTGTCCATAGCACAGAGTCTTAGCACTTCATTTCTTTTTTATAATCAATGCTTTTTCGGACTCAACTGCCAGGACATTTCACATTTAAATGGATACTGTCTGGCTCACCTGGCCTCAGAACCACAGACCATGTGTATGGCGTCGTGTGGACGAGCGGTTTGCCCCGATGATGGCGGTGGCTATTTGAATGCACAAAAATACCGTGACGAGATCCTGAGGCCCATTGTGAGGCTCGTTTTTTAAAAGTTATCTGTGACCAATAAATGCATATATGTATTCCCAGTTATGTGAAATCCCTAGATTAGGGCCTAATGAATTTATTTCAATTGACTATTTTCCTCATGTGAACGGTAACTCAGTAAAATATTTGAAATTGTTGCAAGTTGCATTTATATTTTTGTTCAGTATAAAAAGATATGCGCCAATAACTTGTGTGAGCTTGTAGTGTGCTAACCTTTATAGCCTTTTTAATGTTTATAACTTTATGGACCACAAGTTTGTTCCCAGATAAATGCAATTACAATCTAACTTGGTGTCACTACGTTGGTATCAGAAGTGATATCTTTCAAACTAACGAATCTCATAAAAATGCCATAGCATCGCAGTTTCTTTGCACATAGGCCTACAAATAAACCTGCACTACCCTGCAATATGCAAAAAACAAGATCTCCCTTTTTCTTGCTTCAAAAACACTCCGAAGAGACACTTAAGAACATTCTTCTTTAACCAACAGTATAAAAGCCATCCTCTCTGCTTCCCAGTAGTAGAGGTGAGCCATAAGCTATGAGGACGGAACACATTTGAGCAGGCCCATTTTTTTATTGTTGCTAATTGGCCTGGTCAACACCTTGTTGAAAATGGAAATACCAAATCTCATCCAAAGGTGCTTTTTGATGTGGCCTCAGTGAGATGTGATAAAACGTATACATTTTAACAAGGCTGCCGGCGCTCCCTCTCTCCCCAGCTGCCCGGTTCCAGTCCGTCCCATGTCCGGCCCCATCAGCTGGAGAGCGACAGAAAACCCAGGGTTATATGAATTTTAATATTGTACTGTGATTAACAGAGCCATAATGCCAGATCCATAATTTGCGGTATTAGCTGATTTTGGTCACAGTTCGGTTACAGGTAGGCCATTTTCTCATATATCCCCCCAAATTTGGCAGGATGCATGTGCTATGATTTGCATTGACCACCCGTCCCAACATGTTTATGTCAAAAAATCTAAAGAGAAAATAAACTACAGCCCCGTCTGCTGCCCCGTTATCTGTTTAAAGATTGCAAAAGGTCAGATTCAGATCTCCAAAATGGTATATCATACACTGTGATTGGAAGAACCATGGGAAGTTATGCTGCTTTAAACATTAATAAACTTAATAAATAAATAAATCACACTTAGGAGACAAGTAGGAAAAAATATTTCAAACACTCTTAAGGCATAGACCCACACATCTCTTTAATAATCCACATGCAAACGCCCTCCATTATCTCAGCCAATTATGGCTAGCCAGGAAGGATCCTGAATGTCTCCCTATATAGCTCAGTGCTTTCTCCATGTCTAAACTAGGATCATAATTTAACATTTAACATATATTTGTGGGGGGGGGGGGGGTTGCAGGAATGCCTTCTTGAACATGTGAACTTTCATGTGCCTTAAATACTAACTTCCATGGAATCTATAAATATGTGTTTTTTTTAAGCGGCTGCCGCATGGCACACAAGTGAAGTACATGGTCTTGAACTGGTCTCTCTCAACCCGGAGCTGGTCTGTCTCTTGAGTCATGGCGCTGTACCTGGTCTGGAATTGGTCTTGTTCAGCCGAATAATTGGTTTTATAAACTAAGATGTTCTCCTCAAAACTGCCCATTACCCCGTTATACTAGACAAACAGGCCTACAATCCCAGCCAGTAGGAGAACACACAGCAGCCCCAGACACACAGTAGCAGCTCTGATGGGTCTCCGCTCAGAACCTGAGTTTGTAGCCTGTGGTCTGTTCTTTGGGGAGACGTCCTTTGTCTTGCTTCTGGAGTCATGAGAATTGATGGTGTTTTCATTGGTATAAAGACGCTCAACCCTGTCTGCTGCCCAATTGTCAATGCCAAACTCCACATTGGCATATACAGTTGAAGTCGATAGTTTACATACACCTTAGCCAAATACATTTAAACTCAGTTTTTCACAATTCCTGACATTTAATCCTAGTAGAAATTCCCTGTCTTAGTTCAGTTAGGATCACCACTTTATTTTAAGAATGTGAAATGTCAGAATAATAGTAGAGAGAATGATTTATTTAAGCTTTTATTTATTTCATCACATTCCCAGTGGGTCAGAAGTTTACATACACTCAATTAGTATTTGGTAGTGTTGCCTTTAAATTCTTTAACTTGGGTCAAACGTTTTGGGTAGCCTCTCACAAGCTTCCCACAATAAGTTGGGTGAGTTTTGGCCCATTCCTCCTGACAGAGCTGGTGTAACTGAGTCAGGTTTGTAGGCCTCCTTGCTCGCACACGCTTTTTCAGTTCTGCCCACAAATGTTCTATAGGATTGAGGTCAGGGCTTTGTGATGGCCACTCCAATACCTTGACTTGGTTGTCCTTAAGCCATTTTGCCACAACTTTGAAAGTATGCTTGGGGTCATTGTCCATTTGGAAGACCCATTTGTGACCAAGCTTTAACTTCTTGACTGATGTCTTGAGATGTTGCTTCAATATATCCACATAATTTTCCTTCATCATGATGCCATCTATTTTCTGAAGTGCACCAGTCCCTCCTACAGAAAAGCACCCCCACAGCATGATGCTGCCACCCCCGTGCTTCACGGTTGGGATGGTGTTCTTCGGCTTGCAAGCGTTCCCCTTTTTCCTCCAAACATAACAATGGTCATTATGGCCAAACAGTTCTATTTTTGTTTCATCAGACCAGAGGACATTTCTCCATAAAGTACGATCTTTGTCCCCATGTGCAGTTGCAAACCGTAGTCTGGCTTTTTATGGCGGTTTTGGAGCAGTGGCTTCTTCCTTGCTGAGCGGCCTTTCAGGTTATGTCGATATAGGACTCGTTTTACTGTGGATATAGATACTTTTGTACCTGTTTCCTCCAGCATCTTCACAAGGTCCTTTGTTGTTGTTCAGGGATTGATTTGCACTTTTCGCACCAAAGTACGTTCATCTCTAGGAGACAGAACGCATCTCCTTCCTGAGCGGTATGACGGCTGCGTGGTCCCATGGTGTCTATACAGATGAACGTGGTACCTTCAGGCGTTTGGAAATTGCTCCCAAGGATGAACCAGACTTGTGGAGGTCTACAATTATTCTATTAGGTCTTGGCTGATTTCTTTTGATTTTCCCATGATGTCAAGCAAAGAGGCACTGAGTTTGAAGGTAGGCCTTGAAATACATCCACAGGTACACCTCCAATTGACTCAAATGATGTCAATTAGCCTATCAGAATATTCTAAAGCCATGAGATCATATTCTGGAATTTTCCAAGCTGTTTAAAGGCACAGTCAACTTAGTATATGTAAACTTCTGACCCACTGGAATTGTGATACAGTGAATTATAAGTGAAATACTCTGTCTGTAAACAATATTTGGAAAATGTACTTATGTCATGCACAAAGTAGATGTCCTAACCGACTTGCCAAAACTATAGTTTGTTAACAAGAAATTTGTGGAGTGGTTGAAAAACTAGTTTTAATGACTCCAACCTAAGTGTATGTAAACTTCCGACTTCAACTGTATCTCATCAGACATCTCCATGGTCTACCACTGTCTCCGTGATTTTATCTGACAGTTTCAGTACGCTGTCAGAGCTGTGCATTGTTTCTGGCATTAGTACATACTATATGTGTGTCACTAAAACCCAATGGACACGAAACTGTCATACAAGGAAGACTGGTGAATTACAATGAATTAAAATTAATTGCAATCAAAACAGAAGTTTGAGTTCTCACATCTTTATATTCAGTTGTATTTTAATAGCTGGTTCCTCTTTGCTTTGTGATATTGATTGTACTTTTTTGTATCACTTCATTTGTCCTGTTTCTCTAGTTTTGCGTTTTGCCTCCAGCACCTTCACTAATGTGTTTTGGGTGTGCAGTAGTTTCTACCTATTATTGAAAAAAATTAACTGAATATTGACTGAACTAGAATATAGGAACAGTATTCTGTTGTAGTAATGGATTAGGAAGTTGTCAATGCATGTAATTCAGGTGCTGCATGATTTTCTTTTGCCCTCCATACATTTTAAACGCTTAAAAGAACTGAACTCTAGGCAAATTAAAATGTCTTTCTACCATTATTAGCCTTTGATCCATTTCATATTTCAGTTGTTGATATTGCTTTATTCACTTTAACTATCCGTAGGTTTGACATGAAAACTAAGCATCTGTATTATGCAAGTTCTATGAATTGGGAAATTGAGAGGCCCTCCCAACAAAGCCATATCCCACCCCAAAATGTTCAAAGTAAACTCCAAAAATTACCCAAGCTGTGAGGACATCATCTACTCAACCAGCCGGTTGTAATTAAAACATTGCTCTTATCAATTAAAATCCATTCATCTGATGGTGATGGTATGCTTTAGGTGTTCGCTGTTGCCACTATTAATAAGGGTTAGGAGATGAGTCCTCCATCAGCCGTAACAATCACAGTGTCGCACGGTGAATGTTGAGTAAGTACCAGGGCCTTCATTGAAATGCAGGGTAGCTGGCGATACCAATGGAAAGAGGGATCATGGGCTACGGAATGGTAGAGACAAAACAAATAGAAATCAGTCGTCCAGTGTAGGAAAGAGAGGGTATGCTAAGAATCAAAATGTCCACTACCTACTAGATAACTTTGTTTGGAATTGTTTTTGGTTTTTTATAAAATAAAAGTGTCCAGACTCAATTTGTGAAGAACATTATTTTTATTGAAAGATGAATATGATTAAAATGTCTCTCCAAGAGATCGAATACAGTAAAACCAAATACATTAAACTTAAAGGGGAACTGCACCCGCTAATTTGCCCCTAGTTTTTTGGCTTGCTCCTTAAAAAATGCTGGCGGCCATGACAGAAGCCAAATGTGAGTTGGCTAGGGGTTGTGGTTTGATGTGGGTGTTTCTTTGGCATGTCTTTGCCACCACCAAGACACAGCCATCTGTCAGAACCTTTCCTGCAGCTGTTTCCCCCAACTCAATCACAAACAACAAGCCTCCTGCAGGTTGAATTCAATAACTACAGGCAGATGTATGGTGAGATGCCGGAGGAAGCTTTGAATAGGTCAGTAGCCTACAGAGTAATATGAGTGGAATGCAATTGCTGAATTTATGTAGATATTCTAAACTGTTTTGATAACTTTCAAATGTAGTAACAGGTCCATGTAGAATAAACAACCCTGTACATAATACCATAGAAACAGTGTTCTGGTAATATAACAATGTGCACCATTCATCTTTCATTGTCTTTCCCAGCCGATACAGATACTGACAAAACGTTACAAAACCTGGCCAGATAATTTGAAGTCATCAGTCTCAAGTCAAAGTCGAGTCCCAAGTCCAAGTCATGTCATTTTATTTTCTATCAAGTGAAGTCTCAAGTCATCAAATTTGTGACTCGATTCAGACTCGAGTCCAAGTCATGTGAATGGAGTCAACACCTCTGCCTAGGGGGCAATAGAGCCCCACAGTGGAGGTGTCATAATACCCATAAAACCAATTTTTTTCATATAGGGGATTTTAGAAACACTTAAAATAAGGGATGTGTTTCGTGTAGGCTTACCCTGGTGTGACGTTTTGATAACCATGTAAATCTCTCTCGGAAAAGGTGACTTTTATCAATATATTCGGCTCTATTTACTTTCAGGTTCGAACATGCTAATTAGCATAACAGTAGACATCATGCAAACTACAAAAACCTGCAAGCTACTGCACGTCATCTCTAGCTGACACCTTTGCTAACAGGTATTGTGTCAATTTGAAACGTCCACAAGACAGTTCACAGAATTGTCAATTTCAAGAAATGTAGTCAATTTATTCATTACTACAATTATGAATGATTGATGCATCAGGAAAAAGCGACAAGAGTGATCAAGTTAAGATCTGACATCTGTATCTGACACACAAACATATAATATGTTGAAGTTTGAACAGGTCAGTCTAAACATACCTAATTTTGTTCTCCCCATCGACGACCGTTGGTGAGCAGGCAAGAGGTGAGGCTGGAGGTGAGGTCTTTGCCAGAGCCCAATTGTTGGGTATAGCAGTGTAGATTAGCTCCTGGCCTCTCATCAAAGATACTGGTCTGTCACACACCAACACACAAACACACACAAACACAGACACAGACACACACACACTGTGTGGTCCTCTGTAGCTCAATTGGTAGAGCATGACGCTTGTAACGCCAGGGTAGTGGGTTCGATCCCTGGGACCACCCATACGTAAAAATGTATGCACACATGACTTTAAGTTGCTTTGGATAAAAGCGTCTGCTAAATGGCATATTATTTATTATATTATCAATGGTGGTTATGATTGGCCTGGTGGAACCAACCTGATCGCTGCGTTCACCTTTCTATTTCACTTCAGATATCATAATATGTGACTAGAATGGTGAACCCAGTGATCAGGCTGGTTCCACCAGGCTATTTTATGCCCTGGACATTATATGCATCTAAGAAGTAGAAAATAAGCAACAAATAATGTCAGTTTACATACATTCATAGGAATGCTCACAGTGAGGGCATGTCTGCATTACATCATTTAGCAGACGCTCTTATCCAGAGCGACTTACAGCTAGTGAGTGCATACATTTTCATACTGGCCCACCATGGGAAACAAACCCACAACCCTGGTGTTGCAAGCGCCATGCTCTACCAACTGAGCTACACGGGGCCAGTATGATACTGATGAGAGCCCTTGCAGGTCTTCTCTACACTGCATGTTCGGCTGCAAACTGGACATCTCTCGAACAACTGCAGCAGGCAATCTTATGAGGTGGTGTTGACTGGGAGGGCCTATGACAGGGTGATATCATAGACAGCCATGTGGTAAGTTGCATTTTCTTCTAAACAAAGGACAAAGCTTTTTGCTAATGCACTTCAAAACCAAAATGTCTCTACTAGTTGTATCTGCTTGGCTGAGGAATTAGACTACTAGTTTATCAAGCAGGGTATTTTTTTAAATCAAATTTTCACATAACACACAGTACCTGTCGTTGTTGATGAAGCTGTCTGTGTCATCAGCAAGTGAACAGTGAATTCAATTATTTTTGGAGGTCGCTAAACCATTGCAATCACATTGCTGGACACGTTATGATTCCCACCTTTGCTCCTTCTGGTAGGTCCTGGCATCCGTTCATGACCAGTGGATCAGTCTGGCACCCAACTGTGCACTTTGTCTAACAGAAAACAGGGTCAACAATTGTCACCATCCCTCAATTATAAACATAGCTCGAGAAATAATGTAATCTTTACAGATGTAGAGTGACTTGCTCCGGGTTGGATTAGATTCAGGTCAGTGACGCTGTTACACTATGCAAATAAACTGTGACATGTTTTGCTATGGCCCTGGGTTGGTTTGAGTTTGTCAGTGCTAGTTAGTACACTATTGTAGTCAGACATAAGTTAGCTAGTACCACCATAGCTGCATCCAATATTTATTTGTGCCCTAGATAATTAGTAGGAAACAACTTTGGCATATTATGTTGTCGTCAAATGTACTTTAGGGAGATGGTAACGTTGCCATTACGGTTACTAGCAAAGTTCTTCGAAAACAGCTATCAATGCTAATGTTAGCAAGCTCAAATACGGTGGTACACTCAATCTTAGTTAGCTGGCTAAAGTTATACTGCATCTAAAGTCAATCTGGTAGCATCAAAATCATGACCAAAGGTTTTCTACTAATTATTTGCCGCCTTTTGAAATGTTATCATGTTTCCAAGCCATATCCGAGTTGTATTGAGATAGGCTAACGTTAGCCAGCTACCTAGCTAGGTAGCTAGATAACATCAGCTCTGCTAGCGATGATAGTGATGATTATCAAAATATACATAACCAGATACATAAATAGCAGTCTATGGTCTAGCTACCGGTATACTCTCCAGCACAGGGGACCAACAAACTCCAACTCCACCTATTCCACATAATGGGGATCCTTCGGCAGGGCATGCAAACCATAGTTGGTCAATCCATATAGCTAGGGCTTTTCAGTCCCAAACGGCCGTGATCCTTTGTTTGAGCGCATTGGGAGCGATGAAACAACGGAGCCGCTAATCATGAAGAGAAGTGAAGAGGGCGGAGGGGAAATTTGCACGTGGAACTTGGCAAAAGGGGTCATTTTAATCCAAACCCAACCTTCATTTACTCATTGTGACGCACTGAGGATCCAAACTCCGTTTTAGACTAAACTGACTTCATGACCAAAATTATACTATTTTGATTATAGTAAATTTTGACACTAGAATAAATGTTTCTGACTCATACCGATGCCACATAGGCTGTTTTCAAAGGGATTAGTTGGTGTTTCGGGGCAGTTGCTCTTTAAGAAACTCATATTAATTTAATAGGAAAACAAACATTGGTACTGTAATATTGTATTGTAATTATATAATACATATATCCCTGTTGTACATGTTGTTCTACCACAGAGTGCTTTGCTTGAAGATCGTCTCTCTCAACCCGGAGCTGGTCCCTGTCTTTAGTCATGGCGTTGTACTTGGTCTGCAACTGCTCTTGTTCAGCTGAGGAGTTGGTTTTATAAACTAAGATGTTCTCTTCAAAACTGCCCATCACGCCATTATAGTAGACACAGAGGCCTATGATCCCCAGTGGAGTGTATTCATGGATGCCAAGGGAAGCCAGGCTTCCCCCTAAAATTAACCAATAAATAAATAAACAAAATAATTTATCTTTCGTCTCTCTGTGTTTCATAAATGTCATTCAATTCACAAGAGGCTGAATGTATGTCACCGGAGAAAGAATCAGAGCGAATGAAACAGAGCCCCTCTGTCTCAGGATGTGTAGCGTATCTATCTGGTGCTGTCTGGTCAAAAAGAGTATGACTAGGTTGCCGCCCGTAGCACTGAATGCAAGGGAAGTCAGCGAGCATTTGGCCTGCCTTGATAATTTTCTAAAATAATAATAGCCAATCAGTGTTGAGCAAAACTGAGTGAGCTCAGCTGTGAGAAGAAGGGAAGCCAGTTTGGATTTGGCTTCAGACCAATCACATCACCTCAGAAGACAAACGTCATTGACAGAAAATGTTTTTGAATTGTTACATCATGTTGTGTTGTTGCCCTCCGGTGGCTAGCTAGCTAGCTAAAATCATCCCTTTCCTAAATTAGCAATGTGTAATGAATACTCGGACAGAGTGGTAAGATCCAATCGCAGAATAGCGATGCTTTATTAGAGTACAGACAAGGGAATAGCTTAATCGTGGTCGGGCAGCTATGGTCAAAACCGGGCCAGGCATAGACAGGCAGAGGTACCAAAGGAACGGGCTTAGTCGTAGTCGAGGTCACAGGCACAGGATCAGAGAACGGTAATCACTGGGGCAGACAAGCAGAGGATTAAGCAATACAGGGAGTCAAACAGCAAGGCACAGGTCGGATACACGGGTAATCAAAACAACAAACTCTCTCTCTCTCTCGGAACAAAACGCTTAGCAAGTCACAAAGGAACAATACCTCGCACCGACTGAACCTCTGAGCACACCTTATATCCTACCCTAATTATGGACAGGTGTGCTCAGAACTCAGGTGAACCAGATCGAGTCTGATGACTCCCCCTCTCTGTAGATCGGGGAAGTGTCAGACTCTGTCTAGACCCAGCCATCCCCCGATCCCTTACAGTATCCCCCTCCCCAGGGCCGGCTCCTGACGGCCTTCTACCTCTACCGGGTGGTCTTCCTCTGGGTCGGGGTCCGGGATGATCTGGGTGTCCAGCGTGGAAAGTGGCCTTGAGAGCGGGGTCTAGTATGTCCTTAGCAGGAACCCAGGACCGTTCCTCCGGTCCATATCCCTCCCAGTCCACGAGATATTCGATGCCCCCTCGTCTCCGTCTTGACTCCAGTATCTCGTGGAATGTATAGGTGGTGTCCTGTTCATCCTCCAAAGGTGGTGTAGTAGGTTGTTGAGCGATTGGTGGATACCTCGGGCTATAATGAACAGGTTTCAGCAGGGAGACGTGGAACGTAGGGTTTATCCTGTAGTGTCGAGGGAGTAACAGACGGTAGGTGACAGGGTTAATACGTCTCTGAACTTTGAAAGGACCAATGTACCTGGGTTGGAGCTTCTTGCAGCTCCGTCGGAACCGCAGGTCTCGGGTAGACAGCCACACTCGTTGTCCGGTTTGATAAGTGGGAGTAGGTCTCCGGCGTCGGTCGGCATAGGTCTTTTGCTGCTGTGAGGCTTGACTGAGATGTTGATGGGCCGTCTCCCAGACCTGCGCACTCCGACGGAACCACTCGTCCACCGCCGGTACCATCCCGGGTGCGGTATCCCACGGGAACAGGGGTGGTTGATATCCTAGAACACACTGAAAGGGCGTTAGACGTAGGGAGGTGTGAATGAGTGAGTTCTGAGCATACTCTGCCCAAGGAAGGAATCGGCTCCACTCTTGCGGCTGCCGCGAACATTGTTGCCGTAGATACTTCCCAATTTCCTGGTTGAGCCGTTCGGTCTGCCCATTGGCCTGGGGATGATATCCGGAGGTGAGGCTCACCGAGATACCCAAGCGTTCGCAGAAGGCCTTCCAAACCCGGGATACGAACTGGGGTCCCCGGTCGGAAACAATATCCTCTGGAACACCAAACTGCCGGAACACCTGGTTAAACATAGTCTCCGCCATCTGAGTGGCGTTAGGTAAACGGGTCATGGGTACTAACCGACACATCTTTGAGAATCGATCGATGACCACGAGAATTACAGTATGGCCCTCTGATTCTGGTAGGTCGGTAACAAAGTCCATCGCGATGTGCGACCAGGGTCGTTGAGGAGTTGGCAATGGCATCAGCTTGCCCTCCGGTAGTGCTCGAGGCGCCTTGGACTGAGCACAAACTGGGCAGGATAATACGTAGTCTCGGACGTCATCTGTGAGGGAATCCCACCAGTATTTTCGACTGATGAGTCGAGTAGTTCGAGTGATTCCGGGATGACCAGATCGTAGCGACGTGTGGCACCATTCCATCAGTTGAGGTCGAAGCGAAGCTGGTACAAACACCTTCGACACCGGGGTTTCTGGAGGGGCTGGTTCCGCTTGTAGGCTCTCCTGAATCGTGTCATCGATAGCCCACCTCACAGGGCCAGCACGGCAACTCATGGGGAGGATAGGTTCTGGTTCAACCGGTCTGTCAGCGCGCTCGAACCGTCGGGAAAGCGCGTCCGCCTTACAATTCTTGGACCTGGGAATATAAGAGACAGTGAATTGGAAACGGTTGAAGAACAAAGACCACCTTGCCTGTCGGGAGTTCAGTCGTTTAGCACTGTGAAGATACTCCAGATTGCGGTGGTCCGTGAGCACTTGGAACGGATGAGCTGCTCCCTCCAGCCAATGTCTCCACTCCTCCAGTGCTAACTTCACCGCCAGCAATTCACGATTTCCCACGTCGTAGTTCTGCTCGGCCGGATTCAGCTTCTTAGAAAAAAAGGCACAGGGTCGTGATTTGGGCAGCTCACCTTGGCGCTGGGATAGCACGGCTCCAACTCCAACCTCCGAGGCGTCCACCTCCACGATGAACGGCAACGTAGGATCCGGCTGACACAAAATGGGAACGGTGGTAAATCGTTGTTTTAATGTCTCAAAAGCCTGCACTGCCCCCTCCGTCCATTTCAGACCACGCCCCTTGTGGCTGGTCATCGCCGACAGGGGAGCTGCGGTGGTGCTGAAATTACGCACGAACCGTCTATAGTAATTGGCAAACCCCAAGAATCTCTGAAGCTCTTTCACCGTCTGGGGTTGAGGCCAGTCTCGTACAGCTTGTACCTTGGATTCATCCAGTCTTACCCCGTCGGGAGTGAGTATGGCCCCAAGGAAGGAAATCGTCGTGACATGGAATTCACTCTTCTCGGCCTTCACGAACAGAGAGTGTTGGCGGAGTCGGTCCAGAACCTGTCGTACATGGGACACATGTTCACTCAGAGAGTTAGAGTAGATTAGGATGTCATCAATGTACACTATGACGAAACGATCAATCAAGTCCCTAAAAATGTCATTCATGAACGCCTGGAACACAGAGGGCGCGTTAGTAAGTCCATAGGGCATAACACAATATTCATAATGTCCTCGATGGGTGATGAAGGCGGTCTTCCATTCATCCCCCTCTCTAATGCGCACCAGATTGTACGCACTCCTGAGGTCCAGTTTACTGTAGATGGAGACTTGCCCCACCTGCTCGAGGGCCGCTGGAATCAAAGGAAGGGGGTAACGATTTTTTATGGTGATATCGTTCAAACCTCGATAGTCTATGCAAGGACGAAGTCCGCCATCCTTTTTCTTAACAAAGAAAAAACTGGATGCGGCGGGAGACGTAGATGGGCGAATGGCCCCTTGCTGAAGTGCCTCATCAATATACTGGCTCATAGATTCCCGTTCCGGCTGAGACAAAGGGTAGATTCGTCCGCGAGGAGGGGTAGCCCCGGATAGCAGATCAATTGCACAATCCCAGGCCCGATGCGGTGGTAGCACGGAAGCCCTCTCCTTGGAGAACACCTGCGCGTAATCCTGGTACTCTGTAGGAACAACAGTAGACACCGCACCCTTCGCATCCTCCACAGTAGACGTTTTGCAAGGTAAAATGAGGCACTCAGCCCTACATACATCACTCCAAGCCGTGATATCGCCAGATTTCCAGGAGATGACCGGATCATGGGTAACGAGCCAGGGGTGGCCAAGGACTAGCGGCTCCCGTGGGGCGGAGATGACAAACATAATGATGTTCTCATGGTGCAGGGAGCCCACTTGTAACTTGATTTCCCCGGTACGGTGCGTAATGAACCCAGTGCCCATGGGCTCACCGTCTAGCGCGTTGACTCTCAGGGGAGGTTGAATGGGGATAAGTTGAACTCCCAACTCCTCAGCAAGACCCATATCCAGAAAGCTGGCAGCCGCTCCGGAATCAATAAGTCCCTCCAACCTGCGCACTTTCTCTCCGACAGATAAGGTGACAGGCACCTACATTTGTTTAGATGTAATGTTCAACACTGGAGTCTCACTCACCGGTTTGGCAGTTCCGAGGCGATATCCTGGGGTACGGTTAGGTCGTACCGGACATTGACGAACGAAATGACCCGCCTGACCACAATACAGGCATAGTCCGTCTTGCCGACGTTGTTGTCTCACCGAACCTGGTAGAGGTGACCGTCCCAGTTGCATAGGTTCCTCCTCAGATTCTCTCCTCCGCTCTGTCGATTGCATAGGACCAGTGATCGAGGGCTCCCGGACTGTGGATGCCTTGTGTTGCACTATAAGATTATCAATAGAGATGGCTATTTTGATAAACTCATGTAGCGCAGTGATATCTCCTCGACAAGCCAACTCAGTCTGTACGTCTTTGCGCAGCCCTGTTCGGAAAACTGTGAGCAAAGCCGTCTCGCTCCATCCGCTACCGGCTGCTATAGTACGGAACTCTAAAGCGTAGTCGGCTACTGTGCGACGGCCCTGCTGAAGTTCGCATAGTTGGTCTCCCACACTACGCCCAGATACGGGTGGTCGAACACCTCTTGAAACAGTCTCTTGAACTGAACTTCCGCATTCAACTCGGGGACCTCAGCTGCCCAAAGCGCAGTAGCCCAATCCAGTGCTCTTCCCGTTAGCAGAGAAATCATGAAATCCACCCTGCTACGGTCATCGGAAAACATAGTACGATTATACGACACATACAGGGACATCTGGAGTAGAAACCCCTGACATTTGCCAGGTTCCCCGTCGTACCTTGTCGGTATAGAAATCGGAGGTGCATGACGAGGACTGACCGTACTCGGGGTGGTGCCTTCTGCTGCACCAGCGTTGAGTAGCTGTAGGAGTTCATCCATGCGTTTCTCCTGTATCTCCCATCGCCTCTGTAATTCCGCTGGATCCATGGTAATGGCAAGGTATTCTGTAATGAATACTCGGACAGAGTGGTAAGATCCAATCGCAGAATAGCGATGCTTTATTAGAGTACAGACAAGGGAATAGCTTAATCGTGGTCGGGCGGCTGTGGTCAAAACCAGGCCAGGCATAGACAGGCAGAGGTACCAAAGGAACGGGCTTAGTCGTAGTCGAGGTCACAGGCACAGGATCAGAGAACAGTAATCACTGGGACAGACAAGCAGAGGATTAAGCAATACGGGGAGTCAAACAGCAAGGCACAGGTCGGATACACGGGGTAATCAAAACAACAAACTCTCTCTCTCTCTCTCTCTCTCTCTCTCTCTCTCTCTCTCTCTCTCTCTCTCTCTCTCTCTCTCTCGGAACAAAACGCTTAGCAAGTCACAAAGGAACAATACCTCGCACCGACTGAACCTCTGAGCACACCTTATATCCTACCCTAATTATGGACAGGTGTGCTCAGAACTCAGGTGAACCAGATCGAGTCTGATGACTCCCCCTCTCTGTAGATCGGGGAAGTGTCAGACTCTGTCTAGACCCAGCCAACCCCCGATCCCTTACACAATGGATGGAGATAGGGATTTGGACTTGTGGTTTTACTTAATTCTCCGTACTGGCCAATGATTATAACAGTGATTCTGATCTAACCATAAATTCATACATTGTGCCCCTGGCCTGAGAGGATGGAAGTTCAACATGTAGCTAGATGTAGTATGCTAATGATTACTAGCTGGCCAAGCGCAGCGTTGCCCATGAAAGGAAGTTAGGCTAGCAAGCAAGCATTTTAGACAGGTAGCCTAGGACAACAAACCACTACTGATGATCCCAGCCAGTAAGAGAACACACAGCAGCCCCAGACACACTGGAGCTGCTCTGGTGGATCTCCTCTCTGAGCTCTCAGTACCTGGGTTTGTAGCCGGGGGTCTACACTTTGGGAAAATGTCCTTTGTCTTGTTTCTGGAGTCATGAGAATTGATGGTAACTTCATTGATATAAATATTCTCAACCCTGTCAGCGGCCTCATCATTGTCATTATCAAACTCATCATTGGCATAGATTTCATTAGACATTGCCATTGTCTACAACTGTTTCTGTGATTTTATCTGACAGACTCTGTGCTTTAATTTCAGAGCTGTAGAATGTTTCTGGGACTTAACATACTGTATGTGTTACTAACCACCATTGAACACACAGCTGTCTTACCAGGAAGACTATGAATATGGCTGTTAATAAGTTTTACGTGCACATCTTGTAAAATGGTCTCAAAACTAAAGTGACATCTCACATCTTTATTCTCAGCTTTCTTTTAATATCTCTTTCCTCTTTCCTTTGTGATAGTGTTTGTACTTTTTGTAACACTTCATTTGAAATAAAGACACTGAATATTTACTGAACTAGACTATTGAGGAACTATATTCTGTTGTAGAAAAGAAAGTTGAAATCAGACGTATTGAAATTAGTCTTCCTGAGGGTAGTAAAAAGAGGGTATGCTGAGAATGGAGATGTCCACTACTTACTAGATCACTTTTTTGAAGCATTTTTTTTTTAAAGAAAAGTGTCCAGACTCAATTTGTGTGAAAACATTTATTGAAAGATTTTGATTATTAAGATGTCTCTACAAGAGACATGTAAGTGTTACCAAATACGAAAAAAATTAAGAAAATCATTAGAAATGAATAGGAAAACTGGAAATAAATGTGACAGAGACATCATTTGCTGTATTGGCTATTTTGGTTACAGTTCAGTTACAGGTAGGCCATTTTCTCACATATCCAAAAGTGCAATTCGTTGCATGGTGCATCATGCCAACCAGTGTTTGGGGTAGAAAGATCGGACCATCGCCCAGCACAATCCTCCTCCATTCCCTTATGACTATTCGGCTGTCCCCTGCCCCAGTACCCTGTGGTCATTGCTGTGCCATCCACCCACTTCCAGATCCCCTCTTCAACTCTGTCAGTCAGACCAATCCAGAACGTCTCCTTGTTCAATCCATGGATAAATACATGTTCCTCTCTGCTGTTATTGATCACCAGATCTGCTCCTCTCCTCAGACAGTCCTCTCTGCTCCCCTCCCAGGTTTTCATCTCAGTAGAGATGAAGTACAAACTGGACTTGTAATACCTCCATCCCTGTTGTGCATGTTGTTCTACCACAGAGAACTTTGCTTGGAGATGATCTCTCTCAACCCGGAGTTGGTCCCTCTCTTTAGTCATGGCATTGTACTTGGTCTGGAATTGGTCTTGATCAGCCGAGGAGTTGGTTTTATTAACTAAGATGTTCTCCTCAAAACTGCCCATCACTCCATTATAGTAGACAAACAGGCCTACGATCCCAGCCAGTAGGAGAACACACAGCAGCCCCAGACACACTGCAGCATCCCTGGTGGATCTCCTCTCTGAGCTCTCGGTACCTGGGTTTGTAGCCAGTGGTCTACTCTTAGGGGTGACATCCTTTACAGTGGGGAAAAAAAGTATTTAGTCAGCCACCAATTGTGCAAGTTCTCCCACTTAAAAAGATGAGAGAGGCCTGTATATGACAGACAAATTGAGGGAAAAAAATTCCAGAAAATCACATTGTAGGATTTTTTATGAATTTATTTGCAAATTATGGTGGAAAATAAGTATTTGGTCACCTACAAACAAGCAAGATTTCTGGCTCTCACAGACCTGTAACTTCTTCTTTAAGAGGCTCCTCTGTCCTCCACTCGTTACCTGTATTAATGGCACCTGTTTGAACTTGTTATCAGTATAAAAGACACCTGTCCACAACCTCAAACAGTCACACTCAAAACTCCACTATGGCCAAGACCAAAGAGCTGTCAAAGGACACCAGAAACAAAATTATAGACCTGCACCAGGCTGGGAAGACTGAATCTGCAATAGGTAAGCAGCTTGGTTTGAAGAAATCAACTGTGAGAGCAATTATTAGGAAATGGAAGACATACAAGACCACTGATAATCTCCCTCGATCTGGGGCTCCACGCAAGATCTCACCCCGTGGGGTTAAAAATGATCACAAGAACGGTGAGCAAAAATCCCAGGACCACACGGGGGGACCTAGTGAATGACCTGCAGAGAGCTGGGACCAAAGTAACAAAGCCTACCATCAGTAACACACTACGCCGCCAGGGACTCAAATCCTGCAGTGCCAGACGTGTCCCCCTGCTATAGCCAGTACATGTCCAGGCCCGTCTGAAGTTTGCTAGAGTGCATTTGGATGATCCAGAAGAGGATTGGGAGAATGTCATATGGTCAGATGAAACCAAAATAGAACTTTTTGGTAAAAACTCAACTCGTCGTGTATGGAGGACAAAGAATGCTGAGTTGCATCCAAAGAACACCATACCTACTGTGAAGCATGGGGGTGGAAACATCATGCTTTGGGGCTGTTTTTCTGCAAAGGGACCAGGACAACTGATCCGTGTAAAGGAAAGAATGAATGGGGCCATGTATCGTGAGATTTTGAGTGAAAACCTCCTTCCATCAGCAAGGGCATTGAAGATGAAACGTGGCTGGGTCTTTCAGCATGACAATGATCCCAAACACACCGCCCGGGCAACGAAGGAGTGGCTTCGTAAGAAGCATTTCAAGGTCCTGGAGTGGCCTAGCCAGTCTCCAGATCTCAACCCCATAGAAAATCTTTGGAGGGAGTTGAAAGTCCGTGTTGCCCAGCGACAGCCCCAAAACATCACTGCTCTAGAGGAGATCTGCATGGAGGAATGGGCCAAAATACCAGCAACAGTGTGTGAAAACCTTGTGAAGACTTACAGAAAACGTTTGACCTGTGTCATTGCCAACAAAGGGTATATAACAAAGTATTGAGAAACTTTTGTTATTGACCATATACTTATTTTCCACCATAATTTGCAAATCAATTCATTAAAAATCCTACAATGTGATTTTCTGGATTTTTTTTTCTCAATTTGTCTGTCATAGTTGACGTGTACCTATGATGAAAATTACAGGCCTCTCTCATCTTTTTAAGTGGGATAACTTGCACAATTGGTGGCTGACTAAATTCTTTTTTTCCCCACTGTATCTTGCTTCTGAAGTAATGAAAATTGATAGTGTCTTCATTGGTATCAAGATCCTCAACCCCGTCTGCTGCCAGATCATTCGCATGATTAAACGTAGCAGTGGCATAGATTTCATTAGACATCGCCATTTCTATCACTGTCTGTGATTTTATCTGATAGACTCGTTGCTTTAATTTCAGAGCGGTACAGTATTTATTGGACTTAACATACTAACCACCAATGGACAGGAAACTGTTATACCAAGAAGACTATAAATAACAATGTGTGTGGTTGGCTGTGATGATAAATAGTCTAGACACAGAAGAGGGACTTTTTTCCGATGTCTTGTGTTTTCTTCTCTGTTCTCTTTTAATATTTGGTTCCTCTTTGCTTTCTGATAATGTTGTACTTTTTGTAACACTTCAATTGAAATAAAGAAACTGAACATTTATTGAGCTAAAATATTTAGAAATGGTATTCTGTTGTAGTAATGGACTGAGATGTTGTTAATACATGTGCTCTTGTAATTAATGTGCTGTATAATGGTCTTGCTCCCTCCATACTTTTTTAAAGCTGCAAAATAACTGAATTGTAGGCCAAGTAAGTTCTCTCTATACCAGTATTTTCCATTGATCTAGTTTATATTTCTGTTGTTGATATCACTTTATCAATTTTAACTATCATCAGCATATCCTTAAGTTTGACTTACACAACTTTGGCTTCAGTGGGGGTGGCAGGTAAACTCAAAGTTAGAGCATTCGGTCAGTAACCGAAAGGTTGACGGTTTGAATCCCATAACCGACAAGGTGAAAAATCTGTTGCTGTGCCCTTGAGCAAAGCACTTAACCCATTCCCTGCGGGTGTCTCAGGGGGAGTTGGGATATGCAAGAAATACATTTCCATTGGACAAGTGTGTAACTGAAAAAAAATAAGCACCCCTGAAATTATTGTTATTACATGAAAACCAAGGATCTGTATGACGCTTGCGTTTTTAGAGCTGGCAAATTCTGTGAATTGGGAAAATTGAAAGGCCCTCCAAACCAAACCAAACCAAGCTGTGTCCCACCCTAAAATTTTCAAAGTTAACTCCAAAAATGACCAAAGCTGTGAGGACATCATCTACTCAACCAGCCGGTTGTAATTAAAACATTGCTCTTATCAATTAAAATCCATTCATCTGATGGTGATGGTATGCTTTAGGTGTTCGCTGTTGCCCCTATTAATAAGGGTTAGGAGAAGAATCCTCCATCAGCCGTAACAATCACAGTGTCGCATGGTGAATGTTGAGTAAGTACCAGGGAGGGATCATGGGCTACGGAATGGTACAGTCAAAACAAATTGAAATCAGACGTCCTTTAGAGAAGGAAAGTGTCCAGACTCAATTTGTGTAGAATGTTATTATTTTTATTGAAAGATTAAGATCTAAGAGATCGAATACAGTGAAACCAAATACATGAAACTGAATAAATTAATACTAATTGTATAGTAAAACATAAACATTGGTACTGTAATATTGTACTGTAATTAAATGTGACAGAGCCATACTTTAATGTATTGGCTTATTTTGGTTTCAGTTCTGTTACAGGTAGCCAATTTTCTCACATATCCAAAATGTACATTTGTTGCACTGTGCATCATGCAAAGTCTTGTCTGGGGGGTAGAATCCTCGAACAGAATCGTGCAGAACAATCCTCCTCTATGTCATTATAACTATCAGGCTGTCCCCTCCACCAGTACCCTGTGGTCAGTGCTGTGCCGTCCACCCACTTCCAGATCCCCTCCTCATCTCTGTCAGTCAGACCAGAACGTCTCCTTGTTCAATCCATGGATAAATACAGTGAGGGAAAAAAGTATTTGACCTCCTGCTGATTTTGTACGTTTGCCCACTGACAAAGACATGATCAGTCTATAATTTTAATGGTAGGGTTATTTGAACAGTGAGAGACAGAATAACAACAAAAAAATCCAGAAAAACTCATTACAAAAATGTTATGAATTGATTTGCATTTTAATGAGGGAAATAAGTATTTGACCCCTCTGCAAAACATGACTTAGTACTTGGTGGCAAAACCCTTGTTGGCAATCACAGAGGTCAGATGTTTCTTGTAGTTGGCCACCAGGTTTGCACACATCTCAGGAGGGATTTTGTCCCACTCCTCTTTGCAGATCTTCTCCAAGTCATTAAAGTTTTGAGGCTGATGTTTGGCAACTCGAACCTTCAGCTCCCTCCACAGATGTTCTATGGGATTAAGGTCTGGAGACTGGCTAGGCCACTCCAGGACCTTAATGTGCTTCTTCTTGAGCCACTCCTTTGTTGCCTTGGCCGTATGTTTTGGGTCATTGTCATGCTGGAATACCCATCCACGACCCATTTTCAATGCCCTGGCTGAGGGAAGGAGGTTCTCACCCAAGATTTGACGGTACATGGCCCCGTCCATCGTCCCTTTGATGCTGTGAAGTTGTCCTGTCCCCTTAGCAGAAAAACACCCCCAAAGCATAATGTTTCCACCTCCATGTTTGACGGTGGGGATGGTGTTCTTGGGGTCATAGGCAGCATTCCTCCTCCTCCGAGCACGGCAAGTTGAGTTGATGCCAAAGAGCTCGATTTTGGTCTCATCTGACCACAACACTTTCACCCAGTTCTCCTCTGAATCATTCAGATGTTCATTGGCAAACTTCAGACGGGCCTGTATATGTGCTTTCTTGAGCAGGGGGACCTTGCGGGCGCTGCAGGATTTCAGTTCTTCACGGCATAGTGTGTTACCAATTGTTTTCTTGGTGACTATGGTCCCAGCTGCCTTGAGATCATTGACAATATCCTCCCGTGTAGTTCTGGGCTGATTCCTCACTGTTCTCATGATCATTGCAACTCCACGAGGTGAGATCTTGCATGGAGCCCCAGGCCGAGGGAGATTGACTGTTCTTTTGTGTTTCTTCCATTTGCGAATAATCGCACCAACTGTTGTCACCTTTTCACCAAGCTGCTTGGCGATGGTCTTGTAGCCCATTCCAGCCTTGTGTAGGTCTACAATCTTGTCCCTGACATCCTTGGAGAGCTCTTTGGTCTCGGCCATGGTGGAGAGTTTGGAATCTGATTGATTGATTGCTTCTGTGGACAGGTGTCTTTTATACAGGTAGCAAGCTGAGATTAGGAGCACTCCCTTTAAGAGTGTGCTCCTAATCTCAGCTCGTTACCTGTATAAAAGACACCTGGGAGCCAGAAATCTTTCTGATTGAGAGGGGGTCAAATACTTATTTCCCTCATTAAAATGCAAATCAATTTATAACATTTTTCTGGATTCTTTTGTTGTTATTCTGTCTCTCACTGTTCAAATAAACCTATTATTAAAATTATAGACTGATCATTTCTTTGTCAGTGGGCAAACATACAAAATCAGCAGGGGATCAAATACTTTTTTCCCCTCACTGTACATGTTCGTGTTTGCTGTTTATGATCACCAGATTTGATCCTCTCCTCAGACAGTCCTCTCTGCTCCCCTCCCAGGTTTTCATCTCAGTAGAGATGAAGTACAAACTGGACTTGTAATACATCCATCCCTGTTGTGCATGTTGTTCTACCACAGAGACCGTTGCTTGGAAATTGTCTCTTTCAACCTGGAGTTGGTCCCTCTCTTTAGTCACGGCGTTGTACCTGGTTTGGAATTTGTCTTGTTCAGCCGGGTGGTCCCTCTCAACCCGGAGCTGGTCCCTCTCAACCCGGAGCTGGCCCATCTCAATCCGGAGCTGGCCCCTCTCAACCCGGAGCTGGTCCTTCTCAACCCGGAGCTGGTCCCTCTCAACCCGGAGCTGGTCCCTCTCAACCCGGAGCCGGTCCCTCTCAACCCGGAGCTGGTCCCTCTCAACCCGGAGCTGGTCCCTCTCAACCCGGAGCTGGTCCCTCTCAACCCGGAGCTGGTCCCTCTCAACCCGAGCTGGGCCCTCTCAACCAGAGCTGGTCTCTCTGAACCCAGAGCTGGTCCCTCTCAACCCGGAGCTGGTCCCTCTCAACCAGAGCTGGGCCCTCTCAACCAGAGCTGGGCCCTCTCAACCCGGAGCTGGTCCCTCTCAACCCGGAGCTGGCCCCTCTCAACCCGGAGCTGGCCCCTCTCTTTTTCTTTCATCTTTTTTTTTCCCATTGTTTTTCTACTTCACAAACAACAGAACACAAAAACAAAACAGCCACTATACAAAACATACACCAAGGTGATCAACATACAGTATGTCCTCCAAATTCTGTCAAATATCTCAGTTGTTTGTTTAACTTTACTATATACCACATCTAAAGGGATGTAACTAGATTGTTCTGTCCTCCAATTTGTTGTGGACAGTGAATACAAGGCTTTCCAAACATGACCATGCATTTTCTTGCAGCAATTAAACCTAGATTACAAAACTTACTCTGATTTTGATCACCAATATTTACATTTTCCGACAGACGTAATCTTGGAGATGAATGAATAGAAATTCCTAGATACAATGAAATGATAGCACATACATTATCCCAAGATGGTGTCAGTTTGTCACAGGACCAAAGCATATGTAATAGGGATCCTTTGTGCTTTTTACATCTCCATCAGAGATGTGACATTTTGGGGTGCATTACATGCATTCAGGCAGGAGTGTAGTAACTCCTATGAATTATCTTAAATTACAGTAGCTTATGTTTTAGGTTGTAGGAGCAGGTATGAGCATTTTCATATATCTGTGACCATGGTTCTACTCAATTTCTTACTTTATATTGGTTTCCCATTTTTTCAGTATGCAGTGTTTCAAAAACTCGGTCCTGAGGACACCAATGGGTGCACATTTTGGTTTTTGCTCTAGCGCTTCACAGCTGATTCAAATAATCAAAGCTTATGATGCAAGCATCACGTCTGGAGGAAACCTGGCATCATCCCTATGGTGAAGCATGGTGGTGGCAGCATCATGCTGTGGGGATGTTTTTGAGCGACAGGGACTGGGAGAGTATTTTCAGGATCGAGGGAAAGATGAATGGAGCAAAGTGCAGAGAGATCCTTGATGAACACCTGCTCAAGAGCCCTCAGGACCTCAGACTGGGGCAAAGGTTCACCTTCCAACAGGAAAATGAGCCTAAGCACACTGCCAAGACAACGCAGAAGTGGCTTAGGACATGTCTCTGAATGTCCTTGAGTGGCCCAGCCAGAGTCCAGACTTGATCCCGATCGAACATGTCTGGAGAGACCTAAAAATAGCTGTGCAGCGAAGCTTCCCATCCAACCTGACAGAGCTTGAGAGGATCTGCAGAGAAGAATGGGAGAAACTCCCCAAATACAGCTGTGCCAAGCTTGTAGTTTCATACGCAAGATGACTTGAGGCTGTAATCGCTACCAAAGGTGCTTCAACAAGGTACTGAATATAGGGTCTGAATACTTATGTAAATGTGATATTTCCGTTTTTTAAAACTATTTAATCTATTTTAGAATAAGGCTGTAACGTAACATGTGGAAAAAGTGAAGGGGTCTGAGTACTTTCTGAATGTGCTGTATTGGAAGCTTTTAGGTTTTAGATGATCATGTCACTCTCATTGTGCACGCTTGTGCACGCTGCAGATGCTAATTTACTGCTGAGCAGTATCAGTAGTGACATTAGGTCATTTTGATAGCACAGGTGGTTATACGTAGTCAGCGTTTTATGTGCGGTTTTGGGGGGTTTTGTTAGTATACTCAATGTTTATGCTATGTGATGGTTGAGCTACAGTGAGGGAAAAAAGTATTTGATCCCCTGCTGATTTTGTACGTTTGCCCACTGACAAAGACATGATCAGTCTATAATTTTAATGGTAGGTTTATTTCAACAGTGAGAGACAGAATAACAACAAAAAAATCCAGAAAAACGCATGTAAAAAAAATTATAAATTGATTTGCATTTTAATGAGGGAAATAAGTATTTGACCCCTCTGCAAATCATGACTTAGTACTTGGTGGCAAAACCCTTGTTGGCAATCACAGAGGTCAGACGTTTCTTGTAGTTGGCCACCAGGTTTGTACACATCTCAGGAGGGATTTTGTCCCACTCCTCTTTGCAGATCTTCTCCAAGTCATTAAGGTTTCGAGCCTGACGTTTGGCAACTCAAACCTTCAGCTCCCTCCACAGATGTTCTATGGGATTAAGGTCTGGAGACTGGCTAGGCCACTCCAGGACCTTAATGTGCTTCTTCTTGAGCCACTCCATTGTTGCCTTGGCCGTGTGTTTGGGTCATTGTCATGCTGGAATACCCATCCACGACGAAGGAGGTTCTCACCCAAGATTTGACGGTACATGGCCCCGTCCATCGTCCCTTTGATGCTGTGAAGTTGTCCTGTCCCCTTAGCAGAAAAACACCCCCAAAGCATAATGTTTCCACCTCCATGTTTGACGGTGGGGATGGTGTTCTTGGGGTCATAGGCAGCATTCCTCCTCTTCCAAACACGGCGAGTTGAGTTGATGCCAAAGAGCTCGATTTTGGTCTCATCTGACCACAACACTTTCACCCAGTTCTCCTCTGAATCATTCAGATGTTCATTGGCAAACTTCAGATGGGCCTGTATATGTGCTTTCTTGAGCAGTGGGACCTTGCGGGCGCTGCAGGATTTCAGTCCTTCACGGCGTAGTGTGTTACCAATTGTTTTCTTGGTGACTATGGTCCCAGCTGCCTTGAGTTCATTGACAAGATCCTCCCGTGTAGTTCTGGGCTGATTCCTCACCGTTCTCATGATCATTGCAACTCCACGAGGTGAGATCTTGCATGGAGCCCCAGGTCGAGGGAGATTGACAGTTCTTTTGTGTTTCTTCCATTTGCGAATAATCGCACCAACTGTTATCACCTTCTCACCAAGCTGCTTGGCGATGGTCTTGTAGCCCATTCCAGCCTTGCGTAGGTCTACAATCTTGTCCCTGACATCCTTGGAGAGCTCTTTGGTCTTGGCCATGGTGGAGAGTTTGGAATCTGATTGATTGATTGCTTCTGTGGACAGGTGTCTTTTATACAGGTAACAAACTTGATTAGGAGCACTCCCTTTAAGAGTGTGCTCCTAATCTCAGCTCGTTACCTGTATAAAAGACACCTGGGAGCCAGAAATCTTTCTGATTGAGAGGGGGTCAAATACTTATTTCCCTCATTAAAATGCAGATTAATTTATAACATTTTTTGACATGTGTTTTTATGGATTTTTTTGTTGTTATTCTGTCTCTCACTGTTCAAATATACCTACCATTAAAATTATAGACTGATCATTTCTTTGTCAGTGGGCAAACGTACAAAATCAGCAGGTGATCAAATACTTTTTTCCCTCACTGTATGCACTCTGCAGCAGGTTATTGTCTGCTCTGCAGCAGGCTATTGTCTGCTTCCTGTACGATGTCTTCTGTTGTATAACAATGTACGCATTTTCTCTTTCAAATTTCAGTAAGGCAAAGGCAGCCTTTCTTTATCATGGTCCGATGACAGGGATTCAGTTCATCTCGGCTGTCAGGACACTTCGGCGTGTAGTCCGCTCAGGAATCCATTTGTCCACCTACTCTTCACAGGCTATGGAGAAGCGACCAACGTGCATATCAAGAGTATCTCTCCTCTCTCAGTACCACAAGTTTGAGTTCACTTAACGGAACAGTGTTGAGTTTACGCTTGCTAGAGGCGGTGTGTATGATGGCTTTTAAGGGGTCTTCAGTCTATGCACTAAATATTCCATCCCTTTAATCTTGCATGATATCTCTGTTTTGATTGCATTATGGACACTTGTTAACAGTACATATACACTCAGCGATGAAATAATTATCAATGGAACATCAGTTGTCATCACTAGAACTAACACTGCCTTGTTTTTTTCTCCCTTTATCACTCGCTGCTCCGGAGTGGCACAGCGGTCTAAGGCACTGCATCTCAGTGCTGGAGGTGTCACTACAGACCCTTGTTCGATTCCAGGCTGTATCACAATCCGGCTGTGATTGGGAGTCCCATAGGGTGGTGCACAATTAGTCCGTCATTGTAAGTAAGAATTTGTTCTTAACTGACTTGCCTAGTAAAAATAAATGAAATGTATTTTGACGGAGAACACATTCTCATTTACAGCGATGACCTGGGGAATAGTTACAGGGGAGAGGAGGTGGGATGAATGAGCCAAATGGAAGCTGGTGATGATGTCACGAATTCAGCCGAGGCTGCCCCTCCTCCTTGCTCGGGCAGGCTTCGGCGTTGGTCATCACCGGAGTACTAGCTGCCACCGATCTATGTTTCTGTGTTCTACTTGTTTTATCTTTATTGTACACACCTGGTTCCCATTATGTTCATGATTTGTTCCCTATTTAACCCTCTGGCTCCCGCTGTGTTGTGTGCTTGTTTGTTCTATGTTTGGTGTCATCGACTGGTGAGCGGTATTTGTCCTCCCTGCGTGGAGATTATGTTCATTTATTTTCACAAATAAAGTACGTTGTCTACTAGCTCTGTGTCCTGCGCCTGACTCCGTCCTACCGCTACACACTGACGCCTGACAGAAACAAGCACCCAATACAGTGGGAGCCAGAGGGTTAAATAGGGAACAAATCATGAACATAATGGGAACCAGGTGTGTACAATAAAGACAAAACAAGTAGAACACAGAAACATAGATCGGTGGCAGCTGGTACTCCCGTGACGACAAACGCCGAAGCCTGCCCGAGCAAGGAGGAGGGGCAGCCTCGGCTGAATTCGTGACAGATGATTAGTTGGCCATGATGGAATGAGGCTAGATTGGGAATTTAGCCAGGACACTGAGGTTATCATCCCTACATGGGATGTCCCCAATCACTGCCCTGGGTATTGAGATATTTCTTTAGACCAGAGGAAAGAGTGCCTCCTACTGGCCATCCAACACCAGTTCCAGAAGCATGTGGTCCCCCAACCAGGGACCAACCCTGCTTAGCTTCAGAGGCAAGCCAGCAGTGGGATGCAGGGTGGTATGCTGCTGGAGCAAAACTTACACTACCTGCATGCTGAGCATGGGTGGCACCTAGCGAACCTCTGTTCAACATTGATGCTGGCCACCAATGACAAGATATTGGAACTCCTCACGGCTCTGGTTCCTTCGTCAGCGCTGCAGGCTAGCTCTGAGCTATACAAAATCAGCAGGGGATCAAATACTTTTGATCCCCTGCTGACTGAATAACATATAAATTCACTCAAATCATAGGCTAACTCTGAATTTGTTTAATTTTGGAGTATAGGCTAGACCAATTATGTACCAAAGAAATCTTAAATCTGTTTATTTTTATGTTTTTTGACTACATAATATGCGGTAGGCTAAATATAACTTTAGTTATGTGTGTTCTGCTAATTGTATTATACTTTATTTATTCATGGAAAACCCATTGAGACCATGGTCTCATGCCCTGATCACAACAATACAACAACCAATACAATGTAAAACAAAACAGCAATCAATACAAAACACAACATTTATGAAAATCAGTTACATTCCTTAGCTACTAGGTCCTCAATTACAATCTGCTTCCTGCTGTTTAAGGAAAGGCAAGATCCATTTCTAAAAAAGAAGCCCACTTTAAATCTTAGCTTTTTAACTAGCTCATCAGTATGTTTTTTAAATGTTAAATCCTTGTCAATCCAAAAGCCCAGATATTTATAGGTTGGGAACCCAATACATGGGAGAACCATTCAATGAATAAGTATGTAGTCCATCTAAAATATGTTTGCGAGAATTTGAAAACATAACATTTATGAAAATCAGTTACATTCCTTAGCTACTATGTCCTCAATTAACACCCTAAACTGCCCGTATGGCACCAGAACATATCATTGTAATGAGTTCTGCAAATTGTTCCAGCAGTGAGCCACATTAAAACTAAAAGCAGATTTACCTAATTCGGTGGAGATCCAAGGAACCACAAGAGTTAACCAACCCTGTGAAGGGGTTTGGTAACTCATGTTTTTATAATTCAACAACAAAGTTAGGTAAGTCGGAAGCTTGTGTAGTAGAGCTTTGTAAACAAAAAGGGAATAGTGAAGTGATCTACGGACTTTAATGAGGACCAGCCAACCTTTTGATACAGGATGCAGTGATGAGTATTAAAACTGTCACCTGTGATAAAGCGAAGGGTGCTATTGTAGACGGCATCCAAAAGTTTAATAGTAGTGGCTGCTGCATTCTGGTAAATTGTGTCACCCATAGTCAAGAACTGGCAGGAAGGTTGACAGTACAATCTGCTTCCTGTTGTTTAAGGAAAGGCAAGATCCATTTCTAAAAAAGAAGCCCAATTTAAATCTTAGGTTTTTAACTAGCTCATCATTATGTTCCTTCAATTAAACATCTTTGTCAATCCATAAGCCCAGATACTTATAGGCAGGAACCCGATCGATGGGAGAACCACTCAATGAATAAATATTTAGTCCATCTAAAATATTTTTGTGAGAATTAGAAAAAAACAAATATTTAGTCTTGCCAACATTAAGTACAAGTTTAAAACAAACAGGACATTTTGTAAGGCAACAAAGTCAGATTGCAGCTCTAACAATGCCTGGTCGACAGTTGGGGCAATGGCTTACATAACAGTATCATCTGCATAGAGATTAATATTGCATGTTTTAATAGATACAGTGCAATAGGAAAGTATTCAGACCCCATGACTTTTTCCACATTTTGTTACGTTACAGCCATATTCTAAAATTGACTAAAATGTATTTTTCCCCTCATCAATCTACACACAATACCCCATAATGACAAAGCAAAATCTGTTTTTTAGAAATTTAGGCAAATGTATTACAAATAAAAAAACTGAAATACCACATTTACATACGCTATCAATCAAAAGTTTGGACACACCTACATATTCAAGGGTTTTTCTTTATTTTTAAATGTTTTTACATTGTAAAATAATAGTGAAGACATCAAAACTATGAAATAACACATTTGGAATCATGTAGTAACCAAAGAAGTGTTAAACAAATCAAAATATATTTTATATTTGAGATTCTCTAAATAGCCACCCTTTGCCTTGATGACAGCATTGCACACTCTTGGCATTCTCTCAACGGAAGTTGAAATCAGACGTATTTGTTTAGATAAGAAAAATGTCCAGACTCAATTTGTGTCTATTTTTTTATTGCAAGAGTAATATTATTAAGATGTCTCTCCATGAAATCGAATACAGTAAAACCAAATGCATAAAACTTTTAAAAAATCATTCTTGATTAATAGGAAAACATAATCACTGGTATTTTGTAATGGAAATCAATGTGACAGAGCCATAATGTTCTGTATTGGCTTATTTTGGTTACAGTTCAGTTACAGGAGGGCAATTTTCTCACATACCGAAAAGTGCAGTTCGATGCACGGTGCATCATGCCAGCCCTTTTCTGGGGTAGAATGATCGGACCATCGCGCAGCACAATCCTCGTCAATGCCGTTTTTATTATCAGGCTGCCCACTCCACCAGTACCCTGTGGTCAGTGCTGTGCCATCCACCCACTTCCAGATCCCCTCTTCAACACTGTCAGTCAGACCAATCCAGAACGTCTCCTTTTTCAATCCATGGATAAAGACCTGTTCCTCTCTGCTGTTTATGATCACCAGATTTGCTCCTCTCCTCAGACAGTCCTCTCTGCTCCCCTCCCAGGTTTTCATCTCAGTAGAGATGAAGTACAAACTGGACTTGTAATATTTCCATCCCTGTTGTAAATGTTGTTCTACCATCGAGAGCTTTGCTTGAAGATTGTCTCTCTCAACCTGGAGTTGGTCCCTCTCTTTAGTCATGGCATTGTACTTGGTTTCCAACTGGTCTTTTTCAGCTGAGGAGTTGGTTTTATAAACTAAGATGTTTTCTTCAAAACTGCCCATCACTCCATTATAGTAGACAAACAGGCCTACGATCCCAACCAGTAGGAGAACACACAGCAGCCCCAGACACACTGCAGCAGCTCTGGTTGATCTCCTCTCTGAGCTCTCGGTACCTGGGTTTGTAGCCAGTGGTCTGCTCTTTGGAGAGACATCCTTTGTCTTGCTGCTGGAGACATGAGAATTGATAGTCTCTTTATTTGTATAAAGATCCTCAACCCTGTCTGTTGTCCGAACATTGTCATTATCAAACTCACAATTGGCATAGATTTCATTAGACATTGTCTGCAACTGTTTCTGGGATTTTATCTGACAGACTCGGTGCTCTAGTTTCAAAGCTGTAATGTGTTTCTGGGACTTAACAAATGGACAGAAACGTATACCAGGAAGACTATAAATAACAATGAATGTGAAACCAAACAGAATTGTCACTAGTTTCAGATGTCTTGTTTGACTTTTATTTTTTACTATCTGGTTACTCTTTCCTTTGTGATAGGGTGTGAACTTTTTGTAACAATGAAGACACTGAATATTTACTGAACTAGAATATTGAGGAACTGTACTCTGTTGTAGTAATGGACTGGGATGTTGTTAATGCATGTGCTCTTGTAATTAATGTGCTGCATGATTGTCTTGCTCCCTCCATACTTTTTTAAAGCTGCAAAATAACTGAATTGTAAGTTATCTCTATACCAGTATTTGCCATTGATCTATACTACAGTGCCTTTCAAAAGCATTCATCCCCCTTGGCATGTTTCCTATTTTGTTGCATTACAACCTGTAATTTAAATTGATTTTCATTTGGATTTCATGTAATGGACATACACAAAATAGTGAAATGAAAAAAATAACTTGTTTCAAAAAAATAAATAATTGAAATGTGGCGCGTGCAAATGTATTCACTCCCTTTGCTATGAAGCCCCTAAATAAGATCTGGTGCAACCAATTACCTTCAGAAGTCACATAATTAGTTAAATGCAGTCCACCTGTGTGCAATCTAAGTGTCACATGATCTGTCACATGATCTCTGTATATATACACACCTGTTCTGAAAGGCCCCAGAGTCTGCAAAAACACTAAGCAAGGGGCACCACCAAGCAAGTGGCACCATGAAGACCAAGGAGCTCTCCAAACAGGTCAGGGACAAAGTTGTGGAGAAGTACAGATCAGGGTTGGGTTATAAAAAAATATCCGAAACTTTGAACATCCCACGGAGCACCATTAAATCCATTATTAAAAAATGGAAAGAATATTGCACCACAACAAACCTGCCAAGAGAGGGCCACCCACCAAAACTTACGGACCAGGCAAGGAGGGCATTAATCAGAGGCAACAAAGAGACCAAAGATAACCCTGAAGGAGCTGCAAAGCTCCACAGAGGAGATTGGAATATCTGTCCATAGGACCATTTTAAGCCATACACTCCACAGAGCTGGGCTTTACGGAAGAGGGTGTTCACCAACAGGCATGTGGGAGACTCCCCAAACATATGGAAGAAGGTACTCTGGTCAGATTAGACTAAAATTGAGCTTTTTGGCCATCAAGGAAAACGCTATGTTTGGCGCAAACCCAACACCTCTCGTCACCCCGAGAACACCATCCCCACAGTGAAGCATGGTGGTGGCAGCATCATGCTGTGGGGATGTTTTTCATCGGCAGGGACTGGGAAACTGGTCAGAATTGAAGAAATGATGGATGGCGCTAAATACAGAGAAATTCTTGAGGGAAACCTGTTTCAGTCTTCCAGAGATTTGAGACTGGGAAGGAGGTTCACCTTCCAGCAGGACAATGACCCTAAGCATACTGCTAAAGCAACACTTGAGTGGTTTAAGGGGAAACATTTAAATGTGTTGGAATGGCCTAGTCAAAGCCCAGACCTCAATCCAATTGAGAATCTGTGGTATGACTTAAAGATACTGTACACCAGCGGAACCAATCCAACTTGAAGGAGCAGTTTTGCCTTGAAGAATGGGCAAATATCCCAGTGGCTAGATCTCCCAAGCTTATAGAGACATACCCCAAGAGACTTCCAGCTGTAATTGCTGCAAAAGGTGGCAATCGGGGGGGGGGGGGGGGGTGAATCGTTTTTTTTGTGTCTTATTTCTTGTTTGTTTCACAATAAATATTTTGCATCTTCAAAATGGTAGGCATGTTGTGTAAATCAAATGATACAAACCCCCAAAAAATCTATTTTAATTCCAGGTTGTAAGGCAACAAAATAGGAAGAATGCCAAGGGGGGTGAATACTTTCGCAAGCCACTGTAAATATATAGAATTATGTGGACACCCCTTCAAATGAGTGGATTTGGCTATTTAAGCCACACCCGCTGCTGAGAGGTGTATAAAATCGAGCACACAGCCATGCAATCTCCATAGACAAACATTGGCAGTGGAATGGCCTTACTGAAGAGCTCAGTGACTTTCAACGTGGAACCGTCATAGGATGCCACCTTTCCAACAAGTCAGTTCGTCAAATTTCTGCCCTGCTAGAGCTGCCCCGGTCAACTGTAAATGCTGTTATTGTGAAGTGGAAACGTCTAGGAGCAACAACGGTTCAGCCGCGAAGTGTTAGGCCACACAAGCTCAAAGATCGGGGCCGCCGAGTGCTAAAGCGCGTAGCACGTAAAAATCATCTGTCCTCGGTTGCAACACTCAATACCGAGTTCCAAACTGCCTCTGGAAGCAACGTCAGCAGAATAACTGTTCGTCGGGAGCTTCATGAAATCGGGTTTCCGTGGCCGAACAGCCGCACAAGCCTAAGATCACCATGCCAAGAGTCAGCTGGAGTGGTGTAAAGCTCGCCACCATTGGACTCTGGATCAGTGGAAATGCGTTCTTTGGAATGATGAATCACGCATCACCATCTGGCAGTCCGACGGACGAATCTGCGTTTGGCGGATGTCAGGAGAACGCTACCTGCCCCAATGCATATTGTCAACTGTAAAGTTTGGTGGAGGAGGAATAATGGTCTGGGGCTGTTTTTCATGGCTCGGGCTAGGTCGCTTAGTTCCAGTGAAGGGAAATCTTAACGCTACAGCATTTAATGACATTCTAGACAATTCTGTTCTTCCAACTTTGTGGCAACAGTTTGGATGAAGCCTTTTCTTGTTTCAACATGACAATGCCCCCATGCACAAAGCGAGGTCCATACAGAAATGGTTTGTCGAGATCGGTTTGAAAGAACTTGATTGACCTGCACAGAGCCCTGACGTCAACCCCATAGAACACCTTTGGGAGGAATTGGAACGCCGACTGCGAGCAAGGCCTAAACGCCCAACATCAGTGCCTGTTCGGATTTTTCGTTATTTAGCCCTCTGAAAAGGCTCACCAGGAAGCACACAATGTCATGACTCGTGTTTGTCCTTAATTTTATTTTTAATCAAATGACCACAGGTCATAAACCTGAAAAACAACAAACAAATAATGACAATATATTATTCAAATATATAATGTAAATATATTATTCAAATAATATAATAATAATGTAAATAATGAAAATCAAATAAGCCTGCAACACCATCAACAATGTGGCAAATCTGGCTTAAAACAACATTGACTACATCACCCAGAATGCCTAGCGCCAGAGGAGCATGCGCACAGTGACTCTGCCGTCACTGGTTGCTATGGACGCTGTCACAGGACATAGAACCCATGCCACCACATGCCTCGTCCAAAGGATTTACACACGCACAAACGCAACATAACGCGGCACTCCACCATGGATCACCGAACCAAACCACCGCTATCACCACCGCCACCAGAAACCAGCAGAGTGCTCCAAACAATCAGCACAACGCAAATGGCTGTGTACTCCTGATGATTGTCTGCGGTGAAATGATTAACAGCTGCCATAATTTAAGTCTCTAGTGAAGCTGCGCATGTGCACATAACATAACATATCTGAGCATCTAAGAAACTTAAAGAAATCACTCGTTCCCCATTTAATTGAACACATCAGACCCATTTGCTTCTCTTTTATCTATTTATTTATTTAAAAAAAAAAAAAAAAAAATATATATATATATATATATATATATATATATATATAATTTTTTTTTTTCTTTTTTTTTCCCTGAGTGAGCTAGAAGTCTCAACAGTGCCCAACCTCAATAATGCTCTTGTGGCTGAATGGAAGCAAGTCCCCGCAGCAATGTTCCAACATCTAGTGGAAAGCCTTCCCAGAAGAGTTATATAGCAGCAAAGGGGGGAACAACTCCATATTAACGCCCATGATTTTGGAATGAGATGTTCAACCAGCAGATGTCCACAAACTTTTTGTCATGTAGTGTATATAGTTCATATGTCAGTTGTTGATATCACTTTATCCACTTTAACTATCATCAGCGTATCCTTAAGTTTGACTTACACAACTTTGGCTTCAGTGGGGGTGGCAGGTAACCTCAAAGTTAGAGCATTCGGTCAGTAACCGAAAGGTTGACGGTTTGAATCCCATAACCGACAAGGTGAAAAATCTGTTGCTGTGCCCTTGAGCAAAGCACTTAACCCATTCCCTGCGGGTGTCTCAGGGGGAGTTGGGATATGCAAGAAATACATTTCCATTGGACAAGTGTGTAACTGAAAAAAAATAAGCACCCCTGAAATTATTGTTATTACATGAAAACCAAGGATCTGTATGACGCTTGCGTTTTTAGAGCTGGCAAATTCTGTGAATTGGGAAAATTGAAAGGCCCTCCAAACCAAACCAAACCAAACCAAGCTGTGTCCCACCCTAAAATGTTCAAAGTTAACTCCAAAAATGACCAAAGCTGTGAGGACATCATCTACTCAACCAGCCGGTTGTAATTAAAACATTGCTCTTATCAATTAAAATCCATTCATCTGATGGTGATGGTATGCTTTAGATGTTCGCTGTTGCCCCTATTAATAAGCGTTAGGAGAAGAATCCTCCATCAGCTGTAACAATCACAGTGTCGCATGGTGAATGTTGAGTAAGTACCAGGGCCTTCATTGAAATGCAGGGTAGCTGGCGATTACCAATGGAGAGAGGGATCATGGGCTACGGAATGGTACAGTCAAAACAAATTGAAATCAGACGTCCTTTAGAGAAGGAAAGTGTCCAGACTCAATTTGTGTAGAATGTTATTATTTTTATTGAAATACTAAGATCTAAGAGATCGAATACAGTGAAACCAAATACATGAAACTGAATAAATTAATACTAATTGTATAGGAAAACATAAACATTGGTACTGTAATATTGTACTGCAATTAAATGTGACAGAGCCATACTTTAATGTATTGGCTTATTTTGGTTTCAGTTCTGTTACAGGTAGCCAATTTTCTCACATATCCAAAATGTATATTTGTTGCACTGTGCATCCTGCCAAGTCTTGTCTGGGGGGTAGAATCCTCGAACAGAATCGTGCAGAACAATCCTCCTCTATGTCATTATAACTATCAGGCTGTCCCCTCCACCAGTACCCTGTGGTCAGTGCTGTGCCGTCCACCCACTTCCAGATCCCCTCCTCAACTCTGTCAGTCAGACCAGAACGTCTCCTTGTTCAATCCATGGATAAATACAGTGAGGGAAAAAAGTATTTGATCCCCTGCTGATTTTGTACGTTTGCCCACTGACAAAGACATGATCAGTCTATAATTTTAATGGTAGGTTTATTTCAACAGTGAGAGACAGAATTTAATGAGGGAAATAAGTATTTGACCCCTCTGCAAATCATGACTTAGTACTTGGTGGCAAAACCCTTGTTGGCAATCACAGAGGTCAGACGTTTCTTGTAGTTGGCCACCAGGTTTGCACACATCTCAGGAGGGATTTTGTCCCACTCCTCTTTGCAGATCTTCTCCAAGTCATTAAGGTTTCGAGCCTGACGTTTGGCAACTCAAACCTTCAGCTCCCTCCACAGATGTTCTATGGGATTAAGGTCTGGAGACTGGCTAGGCCACTCCAGGACCTTAATGTGCTTCTTCTTGAGCCACTCCATTGTTGCCTTGGCCGTATGTTTGGGTCATTGTCATGCTGGAATACCCATCCACGACGAAGGAGGTTCTCACCCAAGATTTGACGGTACATGGCCCCGTCCATCGTCCCTTTGATGCTGTGAAGTTGTCCTGTCCCCTTAGCAGAAAAACACCCCCAAAGCATAATGTTACCACCTCCATGTTTGACGGTGGGGATGGTGTTCTTGGGGTCATAGGCAGCATTCCTCCTCTTCCAAACACGGCGAGTTGAGTTGATGCCAAAGAGCTCGATTTTGGTCTCATCTGACCACAACACTTTCACCCAGTTCTCCTCTGAATCATTCAGATGTTCATTGGCAAACTTCAGATGGGCCTGTATATGTGCTTTCTTGAGCAGTGGGACCTTGCGGGCGCTGCAGGATTTCAGTTCTTCACGGCGTAGTGTGTTACCAATTGTTTTCTTGGTGACTATGGTCCCAGGTGCCTTGAGTTCATTGACAAGATCCTCCCGTGTAGTTCTGGGCTGATTCCTCACCGTTCTCATGATCATTGCAACTCCACAAGGTGAGATCTTGCATGGAGCCCCGGGTCGAGGGAGATTGACAGTTCTTTTGTGTTTCTTCCATTTGCGAATAATCGCACCAACTGTTGTCACCTTCTCACCAAGCTGCTTGGCGATGGTCTTGTAGCCCATTCCAGCCTTGTGTAGGTCTACAATCTTGTCCCTGACATCCTTGGAGAGCTCTTTGGTCTTGGCCATGGTGGAGAGTTTGGAATCTGATTGATTGATTGCTTCTGTGGACAGGTGTCTTTTATACAGGTAACAAACTTGATTAGGAGCACTCCCTTTAAGAGTGTGCTCCTAATCTCAGCTCGTTACCTGTATAAAAGACACCTGGGAGCCAGAAATCTTTCTGATTGAGAGGGGGTCAAATACTTATTTCCCTCATTAAAATGCAGATTAATTTATAACATTTTTGACATGTGTTTCTATGGATTTTTTTGTTGTTATTCTGTCTCTCACTGTTCAAATAAACCTACCATTAAAATTATAGACTGATAATTTCTTTGTCAGTGGGCAAACGTACAAAATCAGCAGGGGATCAAATACTTTTTTCCCTCACTGTATGCACTCTGCAGCAGGTTATTGTCTGCTCTGCAGCAGGCTATTGTCTGCTTCCTGTACGATGTCTTCTGTTGTGTAACAATGTACGCATTTTCTATTTCAAATTTCAGTAAGGCAAAGGCAGCCTTTCTTTATCATGGTCCGATGGCAGGGATTCAGTTCATCTCGGCTGTCAGGACACTTCGGCGTGTAGTCCGCTCAGGAATCCATTTGTCCACCTACTCTTCACAGGTTATGGAGAAGCGACCAACGTGCATATCAAGAGTATCTCTCCTCTCTCAGTACCACAAGTTTGAGTTCACTTAAGGGAACAGTGTTGAGTTTACGCTTGCTAGAGGCGGTGTGTATGATGGCTTTTAAGGGGTCTTCAGTCTATGCACTAAATATTCCATCCCTTTAATCTTGCATGATATCTCTGTTTTGATTGCATTATGGACACTTGTTAACAGTACATATACACTCAGCGATGACATAATTATCAATGGAACATCAGTTGTCATCACTAGAACTAACACTGCCTTGTTTTTTTCTCCCTTTATCACTCGCTGCTCCGGAGTGGCACAGTTGTCTAAGGCACTGCATCTCAGTGCTGGAGGTGTCACTACAGACCCTTGTTCGATTCCAGGCTGTATCACAATCCGGCTGTGATTGGGAGTCCCATAGGGTGGTGCACAATTAGTCCGTCATTGTAAGTAAGAATTTGTTCTTAACTGACTTGCCTAGTAAAAATAAATAAATGTATTTTGACGGAGAACACATTCTCATTTACAGCGATGACCTGGGGAATAGTTACAGGGGAGAGGAGGTGGGATGAATGAGCCAAATGGAAGCTGGTGATGATGTCACGAATTCAGCCGAGGCTGCCCCTCCTCCTTGCTCGGGCAGGCTTCGGCGTTGGTCATCACCGGAGTACTAGCTGCCACCGATCTATGTTTCTGTGTTCTACTTGTTTTATCTTTATTGTACACACCTGGTTCCCATTATGTTCATGATTTGTTCCCTATTTAACCCTCTGGCTCCCGCTGTGTTGTGTGCTTGTTTGTTCTATGTTTGGTGTCATCGACTGGTGAGCGGTATTTGTCCTCCCTGCGTGGAGATTATGTTCATTTATTTTCACAAATAAAGTACGTTGTCTACTAGCTCTGTGTCCTGCGCCTGACTCCGTCCTACCGCTACACACTGACGCCTGACAGAAACAAGCACCCAATACAGTGGGAGCCAGAGGGTTAAATAGGGAACAAATCATGAACATAATGGGAACCAGGTGTGTACAATAAAGACAAAACAAGTAGAACACAGAAACATAGATCGGTGGCAGCTGGTACTCCCGTGACGACAAACGCCGAAGCCTGCCCGAGCAAGGAGGAGGGGCAGCCTCGGCTGAATTCGTGACAGATGATTAGTTGGCCATGATGGAATGAGGCTAGATTGGGAATTTAGCCAGGACACTGAGGTTATCATCCCTACATGGGATGTCCCCAATCACTGCCCTGGGTATTGAGATATTTCTTTAGACCAGAGGAAAGAGTGCCTCCTACTGGCCATCCAACACCAGTTCCAGAAGCATGTGGTCCCCCAACCAGGGACCAACCCTGCTTAGCTTCAGAGGCAAGCCAGCAGTGGGATGCAGGGTGGTATGATGCTGGAGCAAAACTTACACTACCTGCATGCTGAGCATGGGTGGCACCTAGTGAACCTCTGTTCAACATTGATGCTGGCAACCAATGACAAGATATTGGAACTCCTCACGGCTCTGGTTCCTTCGTCAGCGCTGCAGGCTAGCTCTGAGCTATACAAAATCAGCAGGGGATCAAATACTTTTGATCCCCTGCTGACTGAATAACATATACATTCACTCAAATCATAGGCTAACTCTGAATTTGTTTAATTTTGGAGTATAGGCTAGACCAATTATGTACCAAAGAAATCTTAAATCTGTTTATTTTTATGTTTTTCTGACTACATAATATGCGGTAGGCTAAATATAACTTTAGTTATGTGTGTTCTGCTAATTGTATTATACTTGTCTCATTCCCAAGGGTGCCCTGATCACAACAATACAACAACCAATACAATGTAAAACAAAACAGCAATCAATACAAAACACAACATTTATGAAAATCAGTTACATTCCTTAGCTACTAGGTCCTCAATTACAATCTGCTTCCTGCTGTTTAAGGAAAGGCAAGATCCATTTCTAAAAAAGAAGCCCAATTTAAATCTTAGGTTTTTAACTAGCTCATCATTATGTTTCTTCAATTAAACATCTTTGTCAATCCAAAAGCCCAGATACTTATAGGCAGGAACCCGATCGATGGGAGAACTACTCAATGAATAAATATTTAGTCCATCTAAAATATTTTTGTGAGAATTAGAAAAAAAAACAAATATTTAGTCTTGCCAACATTAAGTACAAGTTTAAAACAAACAAGACATTTTGTAAGGCAACAATGTCAGATTGCAGCTCTAACAATGCCTGGTCGACAGTTGGGGCAATGGCTTACATAACAGTATCATCTGCATAGAGATTAATATTGCATGTTTTAATAGATACAGTGCAATAGGAAAGTATTCAGACCCCATGACTTTTTCCACATTTTGTTACGTTACAGCCATATTCTAAAATTGACTAAAATGTATTTTTCCCCTCATCAATCTACACACAATACCCCATAATGACAAAGCAAAATCAGGTTTTTAGAAATTTTGGCAAATGTATTACAAATAAAAAAAACTGAAATACCACATTTACATACGCTATCAATCAAAAGTTTGGACACACCTACATATTCAAGGGTTTTTCTTTATTTTTAAATGTTTTTACATTGTAAAATAATAGTGAAGACATCAAAACTATGAAATAACACATATGGAATCATGTAGTAACCAAAGAAGTGTTAAACAAATCAAAATATATTTTATATTTGAGATTCTCCAAATAGCCACCCTTTGCCTTGATGACAGCTTTGCACACTCTTGGCATTCTCTCAACGGAAGTTGAAATCAGACGTATTTGTTTAGATAAGAAAAATGTCCAGACTCAATTTGTGTCTATTTTTTTATTGCAAGAGTAATATTATTAAGATGTCTCTCCAAGAAATCGAATACAGTAAAACCAAATGCATAAAACTTTTAAAAAATCATTCTTGATTAATAGGAAAACATAATCACTGGTATTTTGTAATGGAAATCAATGTGACAGAGCCATAATGTTCTGTATTGGCTTATTTTGGTTACAGTTCAGTTACAGGAAGGCAATTTTCTTACATACCGAAAAGTGCAGTTCGATGCACGATACATCATGCCAGCCCTTTTCTGGGGTAGAAAGATCGGACAATCGCGCAGCACAATCCTCGTCAATGCCGCTATTATTATCAGGCTGCCCACTCCACCAGTACCCTGTGGTCAGTGCTGTGCCATCCACCCACTTCCAGATCCCCTCTTCAACACTGTCAGTCAGACCAATCCAGAACGTCTCCTTTTTCAATCCATGGATAAAGACCTGTTCCTCTCTGCTGTTTATGATCACCAGATTTGCTCCTCTACTCAGACAGTCCTCTCTGCTCCCCTCCCAGGTTTTCATTTCAGTAGAGATGAAGTACAAACTGGACTTGTAATATATCCATCCCTGTTGTAAATGTTGTTCTACCATCGAGAGCTTTGCTTGAAGATTGTCTCTCTCAACCTGGAGTTGGTCCCTCTCTTTAGTCATGGTATTGTACTTGGTTTCCAACTGGTCTTTTTCAGCTGAGGAGTTGGTTTTATAAACTAAGATGTTTTCTTCAAAACTGCCCATCACTCCATTATAGTAGACAAACAGGCCTACGATCCCAGCCAGTAGGAGAACACACAGCAGCCCCAGACACACTGCAGCAGCTCTGGTTGATCTCCTCTCTGAGCTCTCGGTACCTGGGTTTGTAGCCAGTGGTCTGCTCTTTGGAGAGACATCCTTTGTCTTGCTGCTGGAGACATGATAATTGATAGTCTCTTTATTTGTATAAAGATCCTCAACCCTGTCTGTTGTCCGAACATTGTCATTATCAAACTCACAATTGGCATAGATTTCATTAGACATTGTCTGCAACTGTTTCTGGGATTTTATCTGACAGACTCGGTGCTCTAGTTTCAAAGCTGTAATGTGTTTCTGGGACTTAACAAATGGACAGAAACGTATACCAGGAAGACTATAAATAACAATGAATGTGAAACCAAACAGAATTGTCACTAGTTTCAGATGTCTTGTTTGACTTTTCTTTTTTACTATCTGTTTACTCTTTCCTTTGTGATAGGGTGTGAACTTTTTGTAACAATGAAGACACTGAATATTTACTGAACTAGAATATTGAGGAACTGTACTCTGTTGTAGTAATGGACTGGGATGTTGTTAATGCATGTGCTCTTGTAATTAATGTGCTGCATGATTGTCTTGCTCCCTCCATACTTGTTTAAAGCTGCAAAATAACTGAATTGTAAGTTGTCTCTATACCAGTATTTGCCATTGATCTATACTACAGTGCCTTTCAAAAGCATTCATCCCCCTTGGCATGTTTCCTATTTTGTTGCATTACAACCTGTAATTTAAATTGATTTTTATTTGGATTTCATGTAATGGACATACAAAAAATAGTGAAATGAAAAAAATAACTTGTTTCAGAAAAATAAATAATTGAAATGTGGTGCGTGCAAATGTATTCACTCCCTTTGCTATGAAGCCCCTAAATAAGATCTGGTGCAACCAATTACCTTCAGAAGTCACATAATTAGTTAAATGCAGTCCACCTGTGTGCAATCTAAGTGTCACATGATCTGTCACATGATCTCTGTATATATACACCTGTTCTGAAAGGCCCCAGAGTCTGCAAAACAACTAAGCAAGGGGCACCACCAAGCAAGCGGCACCATGAAGACCAAGGAGCTCTCCAAACAGGTCAGGGACAAAGTTGTGGAGAAGTACAGATCAGGGTTGGGTTATAAAAAATATCCGAAACTTTGAACATCCCACGGAGCACCATTAAATCCATTATTAAAAAATGGAAAGAATATTGCACCACAACAAACTTGCCAAGAGAGGGCCACCCACCAAAACTTACGGACCAGGCAAGGAGGGCATTAATCAGAGGCAACAAAGAGACCAAAGATAACCCTGAAGGAGCTGCAAAGCTCCACAGAGGAGATTGGAATATCTGTCCATAGGACCATTTTAAGCCATACACTCCACAGAGCTGGGCTTTACGGAAGAGGGTGTTCACCAACAGGCATGTGGGAGACTCCCCAAACATATGGAAGAAGGTACTCTGGTCAGATTAGACTAAAATTTAGCTTTTTGGCCATCAAGGAAAACGCTATGTTTAGCGCAAACCCAACACCTCTCGTCACCCCGAGAACACCATCCCCACAGTGAAGCATGGTGGTGGCAGCATCATGCTGTGGGGATGTTTTTCATCGGCAGGGACTGGGAAACTGGTCAGAATTGAAGAAATTATGGATGGCGCTAAATACAGAGAAATTCTTGAGGGAAACCTGTTTCAGTCTTCCAGAGATTTGAGACTGGGAAGGAGGTTCACCTTCCAGCAGGACAATGACCCTAAGCATACTGCTAAAGCAACACTTGAGTGGTTTAAGGGGAAACATTTAAATGTGTTGGAATGGCCTAGTCAAAGCCCAGACCTCAATCCAATTGAGAATCTGTGGTATGACTTAAAGATACTGTACACCAGCGGCACCAATCCAACTTGAAGGAGCAGTTTTGCCTTGAAGAATGGGCAAATATCCCAGTGGCTAGATCTCCCAAGCTTATAGAGACATACCCCAAGAGACTTCCAGCTGTAATTGCTGCAAAAGGTGTTTTTGCCTTATTTCTTGTTTGTTTCACAATAAATATTTTGCATCTTCAAAATGGTAGGCATGTTGTGTAAATCAAATGATACAAACCCCCCAAAAATCTATTTTAATTCCAGGTTGTAAGGCAACAAAATAGGAAGAATGCCAATGGGGGGTGAATACTTTCGCAAGCCACTGTAATATATAGAATTATGTGGACACCCCTTCAAATGAGTGGATTTGGCTATTTAAGCCACACCCGCTGCTGAGAGGTGTATAAAATCGAGCACACAGCCATGCAATCTCCATAGACAAACATTGGCAGTAGAATGGCCTTACTGAAGAGCTCAGTGACTTTCAACGTTTAACCGTCATAGGATGCCACCTTTCCAACAAGTCAGTTCGTCAAATTTCTGCCCTGCTAGAGCTGCCCCGGTCAACTGTAAATGCTGTTATTGTGAAGTGGAAACGTCTAGGAGCAACAACGGTTCAGCCGCGAAGTGTTAGGCCACACAAGCTCAAAGATCGGGGCCGCCGAGTGCTAAAGCGCGTAGCACGTAAAAATCATCTGTCCTCGGTTGCAACACTCAATACCGAGTTCCAAACTGCCTCTGGAAGCAACGTCAGCACAAGAACTGTTCGTCGGGAGCTTCATGAAATCGGGTTTCCGTGGCCGAACAGCCGCACAAGCCTAAGATCACCATGCCAAGAGTCAGCTGGAGTGGTGTAAAGCTCGCCACCATTGGACTCTGGATCAGTGGAAATGCGTTCTTTGGAATGATGAATCACGCATCACCATCTGGCAGTCCGACGGACGAATCTGCGTTTGGCGGATGTCAGGAGAACGCTACCTGCCCCAATGCATATTGTCAACTGTAAAGTTTGGTGGAGGAGGAATAATGGTCTGGGGCTGTTTTTCATGGCTCGGGCTAGGTCGCTTAGTTCCAGTGAAGGGAAATCTTAACGCTACAGCATTTAATGACATTCTAGACAATTCTGTTCTTCCAACTTTGTGGCAACAGTTTGGATGAAGCCTTTTCCTGTTTCAACATGACAATGCCCCCATGCACAAAGCGAGGTCCATACAGAAATGGTTTGTCGAGATCGGTTTGAAAGAACTTGATTGACCTGCACAGAGCCCTGACGTCAACCCCATAGAACACCTTTGGGAGGAATTGGAACGCCGACTGCGAGCAAGGCCTAAACGCCCAACATCAGTGCCTGTTCGGATTTTTCGTTATTTAGCCCTCTGAAAAGGCTCACCAGGTAAGCACACAATGTCATGACTCGTGTTTGTCCTTAATTTTATTTTTAATCAAATGACCACAGGTCATAAACCTGAAAACAACAAACAAATAATGACAATATATTATTCAAATATATAATGTAAATATATTATTCAAATAATATAATAATAATGTAAATAATGAAAATCAAATAAGCCTGCAACACCATCAACAATGTGGCAAATCTGGCTTAAAACAACATTGACTACATCACCCAGAATGCCTAGCGCCAGAGGAGCATGCGCACAGTGACTCTGCCGTCACTGGTTGCTATGGACGCTGTCACAGGACATAGAACCCATGCCACCACATGCCTCGTCCAAAGGATTTACACACGCACAAACGCAACATAACGCGGCACTCCACCATGGATCACCGAACCAAACCACCGCTATCACCACCGCCACCAGAAACCAGCAGAGTGCTCCAAACAATCAGCACAACGCAAATGGCTGTGTACTCCTGATGATTGTCTGCGGTGAAATGATTAACAGCTGCCATAATTTAAGTCTCTAGTGAAGCTGCGCATGTGCACATAACGTAACATATCTGAGCATCTAAGAAACTTAAAGAAATCACTCGTTCCCCATTTAATTGAACACATCAGACCCATTTGCTTCTCTTTTATCTATTTATTTATTTAAAAAAAAAAAAAAAAAAAATATATATATATATATATATATTTTTTTTTCTTTTTTTTTTTCCCTGAGTGAGCTAGAAGTCTCAACAGTGCCCAACCTCAATAATGCTCTTGTGGCTGAATGGAAGCAAGTCCCCGCAGCAATGTTCCAAACATCTAGTGGAAAGCCTTCCCAGAAGAGTTATAGCAGCAAAGGGGGGAACAACTCCATATTAACGCCCATGATTTTGGAATGAGATGTTCAACCAGCAGATGTCCACAAACTTTTTGTCATGTAGTGTATATAGTTCATATGTCAGTTGTTGATATCACTTTATCCACTTTAACTATCATCAGCGTATCCTTAAGTTTGACTTACACAACTTGGCTTCAGTGGGGGTGGCAGGTAACCTCAAAGTTAGAGCATTCGGTCAGTAACCGAAAGGTTGACGGTTTGAATCCCATAACCGACAAGGTGAAAAATCTGTTGCTGTGCCCTTGAGCAAAGCACTTAACCCATTCCCTGCGGGTGTCTCAGGGGGAGTTGGGATATGCAAGAAATACATTTCCATTGGACAAGTGTGTAACTGAAAAAAAATAAGCACCCCTGAAATTATTGTTATTACATGAAAACCAAGGATCTGTATGACGCTTGCGTTTTTAGAGCTGGCAAATTCTGTGAATTGGGAAATTGAAAGGCCCTCCAAACCAAACCAAACCAAACCAAGCTGTGTCCCACCCTAAAATGTTCAAAGTTAACTCCAAAAATGACCAAAGCTGTGAGGACATCATCTACTCAACCAGCCGGTTGTAATTAAAACATTGCTCTTATCAATTAAAATCCATTCATCTGATGGTGATGGTATGCTTTAGATGTTCGCTGTTGCCCCTATTAATAAGCGTTAGGAGAAGAATCCTCCATCAGCTGTAACAATCACAGTGTCGCATGGTGAATGTTGAGTAAGTACCAGGGCCTTCATTGAAATGCAGGGTAGCTGGCGATTACCAATGGAGAGAGGGATCATGGGCTACGGAATGGTACAGTCAAAACAAATTGAAATCAGACGTCCTTTAGAGAAGGAAAGTGTCCAGACTCAATTTGTGTAGAATGTTATTATTTTTATTGAAATACTAAGATCTAAGAGATCGAATACAGTGAAACCAAATACATGAAACTGAATAAATTAATACTAATTGTATAGGAAAACATAAACATTGGTACTGTAATATTGTACTGCAATTAAATGTGACAGAGCCATACTTTAATGTATTGGCTTATTTTGGTTTCAGTTCTGTTACAGGTAGCCAATTTTCTCACATATCCAAAATGTATATTTGTTGCACTGTGCA